CATTACGCCGTTTCAGGGCTTCCACCATGTGCCTAATGCTACCATGTCCCGTCGCCGCATGTAACAGATAGAGTTTCCGCTTGATGGCTTCTGCTTCCTTGTTACTTTGGGATTTCAGGGGTCCTGACCAAGCGCCTCTACCTTTCACGACCATGGCCTCATCTCCTACTTTCGGCCAAACACCTGGAAACCCCAAAGTCTTTAACGTCTCCTGAACTTCCGAACCAACGACATCCCAACCCCGACTAACGAAGGCACTTATCACAATACGGTCTCCATGCCAAGCCTCTGTGGCGTGCCATTTCTTCGCATCGAACTGGACCATTCGTTGTCGGGTCTCCAGGGTGTGTCCCAGGACCGTTTGCCCATTGGGCAACACCTTGGAGCTGGCTTTCTGACGGCTGTTCCCCGGGGGTCCCTCTATCCAGAGACCTCCGTTTTGGTACGCGGTTACTCCTATGACACTATTGTTGTGGCCGGGCCTATTGTGATGATCTTTGTGTATCCTCAGAGTACCGTTGTCATTGATCACAAAAGACGTGCATTCCAGAGGCTTCTGAGCCCAGTGGCTCAAGTACTCCAGGACGTACCTACACACCTTCGGGAACTTCAGGGTACTTTTAGTGATGCCGTAGTGATTGCCATACGCATACAAGCCAAAGGTCATGTACCTAGCTCGTTCTTCCAGGACAACACTACGGTGGTTCTTAAGGTGGTGTGGGGGAAGCTCTCGGATCAGTTGTTCACAGGCCTTATGATGAAACTGTCGTTGTTCGAGGAACCTCTGAGCCTTGGCTTCCACCTGTTCGGTTTGGGCATCGGAGAACCTGGCTTGGCCTACTTCTCCTACCACGAAAGTGTCCCCTGAATGATCTTCCTCTGAACCCAACGGTTCCTCCAACTCTTCAGGACCAACACAATGAGCCGCTTCAACTTGTGAACCCACCTGAAGCTGACACCTACCCTTCAGACAACTGGAACACTCCTGCCGCACCTTTGGAAGACATACCTCCCCGCACGTACAAAACTCCCCTTCTCCAAATCCCTGAACTAAAGACGTACCCCCGGTGCACTCCTGAAGAGTGGCTTCATACGAGAGCTCGTGTTGGAGCACTCGGCTCAGTCGCTGTCCGAACTCTCTGGTGTAGTAGTCTTTGTTTGGGTTCGGGTTGTTCGTACAGGGTCCATGCTGGTACTGTCTAGGACATCTACAGGGCAAGTTGAGGCCTTCGGAAACTCTTTTGTGGGACGTAAGGATCTTCCATCCCTGTTGTATGAGGGGTCCATCTTTCCTGCTTCTATGGTTCACCGCGCAACCTCTTGTGACTGCCGTGTGCAAACCGTACTTATCCCTAAGCTGGTTCAACAGTGGCAACCTCCAGGCCTGACACTTCTCTGGCATTTCCCAACTCACGTGTATACCCAACTGAACGCACAAATGAACTACGCAGGCACACGCTACAAAGTGTCGCAAGGCCTCGGCTCGTCGTACCTGTAGCTCGTCGCGCTGTGCCTCCGTTTGTTGTTGGAGGTTGGTCAAAGGACTATACGCCCCCGTCGCTGGTGCCAGCCACACATGCTGCGGCTGTTCCAATCGGATACGATCTAGCAACAACCTCAGTCCCTCCTTAGTGGTCAGGTCGCACCCGTTCCATGGTCCGCAGTGCACGGCAGCTTCTGAGCTTTTTGCACGTTCCTGCACTGCCTGAGTGAGGTGGGTATCTGCATGATGACTATACTGCGGCAAAACGGGACGATTATAGCCCACCAGATCCTGAAACAAACCTGGCACCACATTGGAACCCTGTTCCTCCAGGGTTCTAGACTGTTGCTCACTAAGCTGCTTGAACCGCGTAGATTGACTTCGTAACTGCTGGCTAAGTTTCGCAGACGCACTAAGGATTGGACCTGGCCCCTCGTCCGCATCTAAGCCTGCGGCGGTTCCGCTCACTCCTTCGACGGCTTGCTCGTCGGTGGCGTATGGATCTTGTAAAACGAGGCGTCGGATTCCGTCATCTCGGAGTCCGGGGCCTCCTTCTGGTAGCCGCTCTGCTTGCGCAACTTTTCCCCTTTCATCTCCCGGAGCTCGTTCTTGATCTCGCTCAGCACTTCGGTGAGCGCCTCGATCTTCTTGTCCTGATCCTTCATGTGCTCGTGACTGCTCTGGGCTCCGGCCGACGGATACGTTGCTTCCTCCACATAGGCCTCGTAGTCCTTCGTCGGGGGAAAGATCACTTTGGCCTTCGTCTTGGGCTGTGGCTTCCTGGAAGCCAACACTTTTCCCTCCAACCAGCGGGCCAAACGATACAACCTTGGGTCGCATCCGGTTCCTGGGTTCTCCCGTGCTGTCTGAAGCACCCATTGCGCATAGTTCTCGAACTCCGGCAGGAGCATGTCCTGGTAGTGCATCGTACTGTTCTTGCCGAAGCCGATGATGTCGCCCGCCTCCGGCACCTCGGTCGCATAGATGATCTTCAGGACGCGGGCCTCCAGGATGGCAATCGTGTCGTTGCGATTCACTTCCATCTGGTACTTCTCGGTGCATAGCTTTACCAGATCCACTTTCTTCTTGGCTGCTTTGCGCACCTCCTTGACGGCGGCTTCGGTCGCCGTCATCTGAGGTCCACGTGGCAGGGCATCCACATCGTCGCCTTGCAACTCGAGGATTCTCTGACGAATCTCCAGTTTGGTCCACTTGTGGTAGGCGTGCTCGTGGTAAACCTCGAAGAGATGGGATTTGAGCTGCTCCTTGGTCATCGCATTCATCTTGCTCAGAGCCAGGGCCATGCCCCTCACACCGAGGAGGGGAATCGCTCACAGGACGGCTGTCTTGACACGAAGTTTGCTCAGTCAGCACAGGTTTCTGAGGCTGGGTCACATACACAGCCGGAGAAGCAGATTGACTAACACTAACCCCACTATAACCAGACCCGTTCACAGCCATCTGTACAAGACTGGGATTCGGTTTGGTCTCTACCCCGGGTTCCGCAAAAAGTCGCTGGTCCTTCATTTTCCCCGCGGAACTAGAGAAATGAAGGAGCTGTCCCTAGCCCTCTTCAGCCAGGTACTCGCGCAGGCTCGGGATGGCCAGCTTCGTGGCCTTCGCCTGCTTCATCAAGTCGTCGGTCATCGGTAGCAACTGGTGTCCTGTGGCAGACCTTTCGACTTGTATCACCTGATTAGCATCCAAACTACGAAAACAAACTAGGTCCTCAGCAAAATCGACAATGGCGCCCAGCTTCCTCAATGAGTCCACGCTCAAAAGCAGGGGGCCACTCCCATGATCCAAGCAATGGACCTTCAGGACTCGCGGCGCACTGTTCGCGGCGATCTTCAACTGAACTGTTGACGCGCATTGATTCTCCGAGCCGTTTCCGAATCCGAACACCGGCCTCTCCTTCAGGTCGACTGCGGCCACGCCGTTGTGGCCATGCTTGGATTGGTTGAGGGCCATGATGGCTTCCATGGCCGAGATCGAGGCCAACGTACGAGTGGCCCCGCCGTCGATCACGGCCTTCCCTTGGTGAACGGCTTCTGCCGTAGTGATCCCGGCCACGTAAGCTGCCTCATTCTCCACGTCGTTGAAGCAGATGAATGACGAAGTGGCCTCCACCTGTTCTGCCACCTTGGCACTGGGTGGAGGATGGGGGCAGTTTGCAATGCGATGCCCCTGCTTTCCACATCGCATGCACGTCATCTTGCTATCATCGGGTACTGTACCGCCCTTGCCGCGGCCTCCTCCAGAGAAGCCTTTGCCTGAGGCGCGATAGTACTGCCGTGACATGCGGACGTTGTGCTGGCGGGCTCGGGCAGCCCTTAGTGTCCGCTTCGCTTGGTCCATGGCTGCCATGGCACTCTGGGCATCCTCCTCTGCCTCGGCCACCATCGCGTACCCCTCCTCGTCGAGCTCGTTGTCGAACTCCTCGGCAATGAGGTCACTTGCTTCTTGGTCTGGCTCATCTGCGGCGGCGTCGCCTAGGAAGCCGCTCTGGCGGCCTCCTTGCTCTCTGCGTCGCGCTGCTTCCTGCCCGGACCATTGCGTCCGTAGCTCCTGGGCGACTCTTTGGAGAGTGAACTCTCCTCCCAAAGCCGCCATGATCACGTTGCGCTCGCTCTGGTCCAGACCGGAGTCTTGCAGCAGGTACCATCCCTGAACAAAATCTGGTAGCAGCTCTGGCATCGTGGTGGTAGGGGCCTCTCGAGAGGGTCTCCAGTGGTCTGGTGGCGACCACCCTGCATCTCGATCCCCGTAGTTGGCCCAACTGCCTTGGTAGTTGCCGTAGCCCCCGTAGCTTCCACACCACCAGTTCTGACTGCCTCGCCACTGCCAGTTATAGCTGCTCCAAGCATCCGGGCCCTGCTCCGATGTTTCATGCTCCTCATCATCATCATCGGCCGCTCCTGTGGCGCTCACAGGTGCTGCGGCCTGAACCTCCGGAGCGGCCTCTGTGGGGGCGACTCCTGCTGAGTCCCAGCTGGATCGCCGGCTCTGAAGGCCTCGGTTGGTCCCGGTAGTCGAGGTCGGTCCTGTCGTCTCATGATGTGGTATGACTCGCTGTAGAGCTTGGCATGCACGAAGATACACCTCACATTTCCGAGTGATATAATCGTTCATGCTCTCATTGGGCCGTCTCCTCGAACTTTTGAAATATCTGTTCAGGTGCTCGGTCAAATCAGACACCATTGGCTTCCCCAAACAAGCTCGCAGGTGCTTCATAAGATCTTGCACTCCCCCGTTGTGCGACACCCAGTCATGTCGCTTCCCCGCGACAAGCCGTTTTGCGGCTCCGGTCAGCTCCGCCAGGAGCTTTGGGCCGCAGAGGTATCGCTTGTTGAGAGCAATAGACTGCTCCCATACCAGGGCCGTTTCCTCGAACTCCTGGAACGTCCCTGCTTCGCCATTCCAGATAGGCACTCCATCTTTCGATCGGGCAATCTCTGTCATGATTGCTCACTTCACTCTCGCTACAGACTCTTGTCCTGCAGAGGGAAAATATCGCTCAGCAGTATAGGTCCCCGGATCGGTTTTGGAGCCACAAGGGCTCCGCTACCATGAAAGTCTGGTAGCTGACTGAAGTCTTCGAGTGCTCAAGGAGAACGAAAGTCAGAGGAACCCAGTCACGGAGGCCTGATGGCTCGGCTAACGGAGCTACAGCGGCCTCTCTTTTTGGGCTCCCTTTCTTGACCTGTCGAATCTGCGTCGGGAGATACACCGATGAGGCTTCCACCTGCGGTGAGGAGGTTCATCGTACAAGTGATTTCACTTGCAAACCCTAAACAACCCCTAAGCCGAGGCGAGGGGAGGACTCACCTCGCCTGCGTCTCCATCGCCATTGGCTGGCACAGGGAAGACGTCCTGGAATAGCAATAGAGTTTTGTAACACAAATAAAAAGAAGTTGGGGTATCTTCGCCTGTAACTATGTAGGGACTGCAGGGATATATGTTTGTATGTAAGTGGTCACCAACAACCACTGGTGTATGTACAGACACCGATACCCAAGTGTCCAAGTTCCCTAGTTCAAATGCTCATATGCGACATCACATCTGCAACCCTCGCAGGCTGTATGGAAATGACTACCAAGCCCCTTCTTCACCCAAAACCCTATCCATTCCCGTAAACCCGAAACCCTAGATTGAAGAACGAGCCCCTTCAGCCACGAGCCCGTGTTGGTTTGAATGGTTTAACCGTTGCCAAAGATTTCCGTGATGACGGTAACTGAAGTGTAATGATACTTTGACTCATGCGGGTGTAGGGCTTTAGGCTTAAAGAAGGTCAGGGTGTTGCTGTTTGTTGGCAATACAGTCTGGTGTAGACTGAATAGGGTATTCAATGTAGCTTTACACAAGCTTGTCGTGATGCGAATGCCTTGTTAGCTGGTCTTCCTTCAGCAGTCTGTTGTTCAACTACTTCGGCAACAGACTTGAGGTGCGGTGTTCGGTTTTAGCTGGGGCATCATGCGACAAACCGGGATTCCCACTGTTCTGAACGCTGCAATAAGTATCCCCCAAACCTCCGGAACCACGAAAACTTGGAACCCGACCCCCGAACTGCAACGCGCACAAAACACAACTCTAACAAAGAACAGAAAGCAAGTTGAAAACCATCTCTGAACCCTACACCCTAAACTTTCGATTCTAAGCCCTAAACTCTATACCGTCGGGCTCTGAACCCTGATCGTAAGAAAACCCGCCTCCAAATCCTCGAGGATGCCGAGAAAGCTCTGTGCACTCAGGGGCTTGTTGGTCTTGTTGCCTCAGGTGGCCAAGCCAACGAACATTGAAACCCTAAACCCTAAACCGATGGTTTGGAGGTTTGCAATTACAGGGCTATGTCGGGCTTAATCATAGTGTTTGGAGTTTCAACGTCCAGAGTTTAGGGCTAGGGTTTAGTTGTTAGAGTTTGGGGTTTGGAATTCATGATGAGGGTCAAGAAGGCCGTGGCGTGGCGGTCGCGGTTGCAGTAGCAGCAGTAGTAGCACGAGTGCCTGTAACTACAGGCATTAAGCACTTCAACCAGCGGTTGGAACAATAATCACAACATGATTAATGCTGACAAAAGGAATCAACCCACATCCTTCTCTAGCTGGCTTCCTTATTTAGCTTGAAACAACGTTTTATGCTGCCGCTTTGGCTCTGGCTCCGGGCGACGCGGTGCTTCTGCCGGCACTGCAGATTGACTCAGGTTGAGCTGCGGCTGCGGTGGCTTCAGCACTAGGTTGCTGTTCGCAAGGTGCGTCCTTATCCAGGTTGAGACGTGTCGCAGCCACGTGGGGCACATCAGCAAACTGACGGAACAGCCTACATGTTCACTGATCCTTAGTTTAGGGACCCTACATAAACAAACACCCGAGTGTTCAGAAGCCCTGACTTCTTGATCTAGGGCTACTGGGGACTTAACTTGTTGATGCGTCCTGACATGACAAGGACTTCTTCTTTTTGTTCACAGGGTTTGCAAGAAGGTAGCAACAGCTTAAAGGCCAGTTATATTACTTGAGTTAGGCTGGACCAGACGTTCTGAACCCTGAGCACCCACTGTTCGGTAAGCAAACATGCTTACTTCGGATTCCCGCGCTTTTGCTGCAGTGGGCATGATGGTTGCGGAGTGACACTAACCTTGCAAGAGCCTGCGCAGGCCTCAATACCTGAGGCCCCCACCCCAGAAATCGTAGAATCCATGGAAGGGGCCGGCCATCTTATCCTGCAGTATTTGTCGCACTCACAGACCCTTTCACGCAAGGGCTCTTAAAAAACACTCCCCGTCAAGTATCCATGAGCGAAGCTTTGCTGCGAGAGAAACTTCTGGAAGGACATTTAGTCTAATGCAGACCAGTCTGTAGAACCAAAGCCTAAACCCTAAACCCTAAACTATACATACACCCTAAAGCCTAAACGATACATAAACCCTAAACCCTAAAGTGTACATGAGCCCTAGACCCTAACGGCGTGTAAGAACTTGCAAGGTGATAACACCCTGCACAACATCCCCGGACCCAAATGGCTCGGTCCTCCCCAAACCTTAAACTCTAAACCCTAAACCCCTAAACCCTAAACCCGGAACCCCTGAATTCTACCAAGAGTCTCGCTCTCTCCATTCCCCTTTGAAGGCGGGCGCCAGATAGACTTTATCGAGATCGTCCCTATGGCCGCCTATGGCCCTATGGTAGGAAACATGACCCGAAAACGGAAAACTTGACGAAAAAGCAAGAACACGCCTGACAGCTCTAATCAATAGTCATTATACTCGAGCTCATGGGAGCCTGATAAACAAGCACTAGGAAAGAAAACCTTGCAAGTCCTTGCCGATCCTCAGATCAGTCAAATCATCTATGTAGGCGAGCCCTAAACCCTAAACCCTAAACCCTAGACCCTAAACCCTAAACCCTAAACCCTACACCCTAAACCCTAAACCCTACACCCTAAACCCTAAACCCTGCACCCTACACCCTACACCCTACACCCTAAACCCCAAACCCAGTTGAGGGGCCTCGGGCCCTTAACCGTAAACCTAAACGTAACCTTGAACCAGTAACCTTAAACCCTTAACCTACACCTTGAACCCTCGACCCTGTAGATCCCGATTTTATTGTTTAGGGTGTAGTTCTAAACCCAATAGTAGCCTAGGAATAAAAAGGCTGCCCTTTTTGGTTTAAAGTGGCTTATAAGGGAACCTGAGCCCTACAAAAAGGGAATAAGGGCCTACTCCAGGTCCCAGAGTTTCGGTTTATGGAGCTTATTGGGCTTATAGGGTTTGTAGGGTTTATATGGCTTACAAGGTTTCGGGGTTCAGGGTTCAAGCAGGACAGACCCGTCGGTCCCATTAAGGAAACGAGACAAGGATAGGAAGCTTGTAAAGCTACGAAATGGTCTTACCAGATCTGTTCTTAACTTTTTGTTCGGGGACTCCCAAGCCATAGTAACCCGGACGTAGGCGAGGGCATAAATTGCAGAGCAATTCTGCCCAAAGGTCCAAGTATCAAAAAAACACATACTCTCCAAAAAAGTAACTTGCATAAAACCACTGTCCTGAAAACGAATACCTAATTGTTACGTCCTTTGGACCCTTAGATTCTATAGTGATGGTAAACAAGGCTACCACAAGGATACTATAAGGGGTACTGCTACTTTTAGGGTGCTGTAAGGGGCGCTTTAGGAAGTTTGGACTGAACTCTGAAACCCAAACCACCTTTCACCCTTAACCTCCCATCCGTGAACCCCACCACCCTAACTCCTTTGGCCCTCAACCCCACCTCACTCCCGAATCCCTAACCCCAAGGAGCAACCCTCCACAAACCCTGGAGACTACATCGCAAATCCCACCCAACGAAAACTGAACCCTACACCGCTACATCCAAAGAGACCATCCGGAATCCTGGATCTGTAAATGCACCTAGAAACAGCAGAAACCCTAAATCCCGATAAGTAAGAAACTTTCCGAAATCCTAGATCCCTGAATGCACCTAGAAACTGCCGAAACCCGGATCCTGGATATTCCTCGGCGCCCCCTTGACCAACTTTTGGAGCTGATCAACCACCTTTCACACTCTTATGGGTTTTGGGAGTTTCGGGTCTGGCGCTTAGGGTTTAGGGATTACTTGGAGGATCATGGGACTTAGTAAGTATGGCTATAAGTACCTTAATTGGGGTTTATAAGTAATTATCAATATAGTTACCTTAAATAGGACTTAGTAAGTATGGCTATTAGTAAGTATAGTATAGTTACCTTAAATAGAACCCTAGTTTACTAAGTCCCATGATAGGGTTAAGGGCCTGGGGCTTCGGATCTGTTGGGTGTTAGGGCGAGAGAGTGGGGCCTCTGGTCTCCCTCTAGGATTCAGGGTTCAAGATTTAGGGTTTAGGGTTTAGGGTTTAGGATTCAGGGTTCAGGGTTCAGGGTTTAGGGTTTAGGGTTTAGGGTTTCGGGCTTCTGGCCCATAAGGTCTAAGGGCTTAAGGTGTGGAGTTAAGGGTTTGAGGATTAGGGCGTGTGCATGTGCACACATTTACGTGTGTATGTGTCTTTCCGTGCATGCATCCGTGTATGGGTGTACAATACTCTATTTGCGAACTCACTCACGACACCCCAAACATGGAAGCCTTTGCCTAAGCCTGCACCGCCCCGACGCAGTCAACTTGGAGAGGTAGTCGCTAATGCCGACCAGCATAGAACAAAGCAACAAACAAAGGATCACACACCAAGAAGCTGTGTTCATTCCAATGTAAAAGCATGCAGCTGTATGCAGGTGTGTACATGTGTATGTACGTGCGGCCCATTGTTACGACCTCGCCTCGTACCCAGCATCGAAATTTTCTGCTCAGCATCGCATTGCATGTTGTTTCCTGTGATTCCTTTGATTAAGATTTGGGGGGTTCATGTGGTTGTGGCTTCGCCGCACAGGTGCTTCACTTGTATATTATGCGCTTGCTGCTCGAAGTCCGCCATAAAAGCTCTCAGGCAAGTCAACACAAGAATCCCTAACCCTACACCCTTTATTCTCCAAACTCGTGATGGCCCACGTCGAGACTATCCTGTCAACGTCACTCCAAAACTTTACTCCTGGACTTGTACTCCAGGAGATAAAATCCACGAAATAAACTTGCAACCACACACTCTGCGTATAATGCACACATGACCACGAGGACTCTAGAAATTGTCATCGTAAACACATGCACTCGTAAACACGCTTGAATTCTAGAAAGTGTACTCGTCAACACAGTGACTCCAGAACCTTACATCCTTGCAAAAGCGGTTACTCCAATACAGTTAACGGTAAATGCGTCTACTCTAAGACACTGATCATAAACATCTTTGCTCCAGGACATGTGCTCGCAAACACGTCTCACTCCTGATATTTTCCTCTTAATCCGGCACACTCCTGTTTCTGTACTTAGCTACTCGTCAACTCTCAGGACGGTGCTCGTAAGGCACTAGATGAAAAATCAACTGGATGTCTCTACTGGGAATCATATCCTACTGTTTGCTTAAGAAACCCACCAAAAAAATAATAATCCCTATATTACCCCCATAAGGAATATATTTTTTATTTTTTGGGGGTTCTTAAGCAAATAGTAGTATCTGAACCCCAAGCACCCACCTGCTGCACATACTTGGACAGCTGGTCTGGATTTGGTACCTGAAGGCAGCTCTGCACTCGGGTTCAACTGAAGGTACTTGGGGGTAGGAGCACAACTTGGTCCACTTACCCGGGCCTACGTACTGTCTTCTAGGGCCCCACACAATTCTACAAAGGGGTGTATAATGAGAAAGTAGGTCCACTGCGCCCACTTCCGGCTCCTGAGATGGCAAGCCCTCCTCCTGCTCGGTCAGGCGATCCTCCACCCAACGAAGGGCGTTGTGGGCAAGTGCTTTGCCCTTTGCCACCTTTTTCGCCCGCCTTGCTTGGCCAACAGCCCGCTCCTTGCGCGCCACCTTGTCCAACCTCATGAACTGGCGCGAGTAGGAGAGAGATACGGGACCATCCTCCTGCTTTTTCGCCTTCTTCTTGGCTGGAGCCTCTGGCCCCTTTGATCCCATGGCCTCCGCAGCTGGATCCTCTTTGGCCTTCTTGGCCTTCTTGGGCCCTAGGCTTTACTAGGACAAAACCCTACACCCTGAACCCTGAAGCCTGCGCTGTTAAGGCAGAGAGCGGAAGTCTCCGTCACTGCTGAGCCCTCTTCGAGCCTCAATTTGAGTCATATAGGTACGTGCTCGGGGTCCCATTGTACTCTAAGGCTTGCAGAATTTGGGGTGGAGAGGAGGGGGATGGCGTAGTATATCAAGAATATAAAGCTGGGTGCAGGGTTTTAAGTGGTTAGGGGTATAGTTTTGTGGGACTTTCTCGACATCTTGGGAGACAGAGGTCTCGACGAAGCTAGGGTCTATAATGAAGGCTGAGGTTCGCGAGAACCCGCCGAGTCTTGAGGCCTAACCGCCAGAATCCTCAAGTCTCCGACTCCGCACAAAGCTGTTTTTTACCAAGCCCACCTCTCCCAAGCCCACAACACTGAGCCTTAGCCTTAGCCCTAAACAGACTCTAAACCAACGGGACCTAACCGACTTTTACGAACCCCCCGAAGCCCTAAACCCTAAATCTTAAACCCCAAATCTTAAACCCTAAACCCTGAACCCCAAAGCCCATAACCCAAAGTAGTGAACAACTTCGAGAGAGAGAGCAGTCAGAAGGGCTCCAGCCTTTCCCGCTTCTAAGCGGTCTCGAACCTGCCCAGCCGCTTTGGTCGGGTTTAGGGGCTTATGGGTTTAGGGCTCAGGGGTTTAGGGTTTCGGGTTTAAGGGTCACGTAGGGATCTACAGCGGGCTTCATAACAATTAGTTTACTCTGTATGGGGTTCGAGGTTCAGGAGTACGTTGGGGATCTTACGTCCCTTCCTCCAAACCCTCACTCCACCGACACCCTCATAAAAGAACATGTCACCATCTTGCATGTGCCCATAGACCACCAAGGATATTGCCAGGGCTGAGAGTGTTATGGGCTGAGGAATCATGCCGTCTTCTAAAGAGCAGAGATGCCTTGGGCATGAAGAAGGTCCCTGAAGCCCTTGCAGCATGCCACCCTAGCCAGCATCTTGTAAGCAGCATGGACAAACGTGAGTTGAAACAGCTACGCTGCTACGCCCTTTCGACAGCACAGCGGCATTCTAAACACCTTCCGACTCGAGGATACTTAAACCCTAAACTTTGCACCTAAACCCTAAACCCTAGCAGTTTCCCTGACCTCGCTGGCGACCTTGGAGACATAGCTGCACACAGCCAGCATGGCCTGCTGCGCATGCGGTGGGGTTCTTCCAAACAGGTGGTTGTCGAAATTAGGGTCCCTTTTTGGGTCCTTATTATGATACGGCACCTAATATTTAGGGTACCCAACAAGGGGCCATAATTTTCACAACCACCCATTATATAAATAAGTATGCCCTGCGGGCTTGGCAGACAAACAGAGTTCGATCCGAAAAACCTAAACCCTAAACACTGTTGATGACATAAAATCCTGCATTACCCCTTATAAGGAAAATACCATTATTCCCATAGTTTAGGGTCCTTAAGGTAGTGCAGAATTTAAATCATCAATCGCAGGAAACCAGCTTCTGCCCACATGCAGTGCAAAGCTTTTCGGGACAAATACCTCGCTGCAAAGAGGCGTCCTACTGTAGCAGCCTTAACAATTAGAATAAGGTTTGGGGGTGTGTTATACCCTAATTAGAATAAAGAACCCGCAACACCCTGTTCTAATTATTCGCCGCGGCCCCGGCCGAAGCGGTCAGAGGTTCCTCTTCGGATTCCCTCTACCTCCCCAGTTTAGGGTTAAGGGTTTCGGGTTGAAGGTTTAAGCTTTCAGGTTTGGGGTTTAGAGTTCCGGGTTTCAGGCCTATGGGCCTTGGTAGGCTTTCGGGATGCACCACAGCCGGGCCGAGGCGGACGACACGAAACGTTTGAAACTAAGGCCCCTACATCAAAGCCTGCAAGAAGCCAGGGAATCCAAAGCTTGAATCTCCAATTCCAAGAACGATTCTCTGCCGAATCCGCCGTCGGCCCTAAACCCGAGCTCCAAAGCTCCCAAAACCCAAAACCCCCTACGGCACACCCAGGAGTCTGGCGCACGACCTAACCCCCGAAAGGTAGCCCTAGACCATATACCCTCAACTCTCAACCTTCCGAGAACCCTACAGAACCCGTGTAGAAGCTACTCGTAAGTTCGTACAACCCTCGAAGCCCTTATATGATCCATTCAGAACCCTGATGAGGCTATAAAGCCCTAAATCACAGACATCCCCATGCCTTCGACTGGTCCGCCATGGTTGCAAGGGATCTCAGCAATACTTTCAGGGTTGATGGTTCAGGGTGCAGGCTTTAGGGTTACTACGGGGCGCGTTGGTCTGCGGCCAACTACGAGGGCTACGATAGACCTTAGGTTGCTCAAGGTACTTCTTCTGTTTTGGGAGTAATTGCACTGCAGAGCATATGTCTATCACCTACATGTCGGGTATCATGGGGAACTAAAGGTTAACCTTCTTGGTTATATATAGGGATTATATAGGGACTATACTACCCAAAACAGGTTAAAGGTTACCCACTCTACTACTAGGATCAATAGCAAAGGCCACGGACGACGACGACGAGGAACCCCGGCTTGTCACGGCTAAGAACGTAGGGAGGAGCCTTTTAGACTAGCGTGGCCCACTGCTCCCATCGGCACTCGAATGGGCTGGCATCAGTGCCCCTAAACCCTAAACCCCCCCCCTTCTGGATGGGTGGCTTGGACTGGTACGGCTGGCTGCCCACCAAACGTAGGCTGGCAGCCTCTCCACAATGAGAAGGAGATCAGCAGCCAGAGCTGGGACGGGCCCGAAGGGATCGACCCGAACACCCGGTCCCGACCAGGTGCCAAGGAGAAGGCGGCATGCTCCCAGACCTCCTTGTGTCGCTTGTGGGCCCAGGCCATCGTTGTGATCAAGGTGAAGATGACATCTGATGGCCACCATGTTGGCGGACCTGTTGTCCAGTAGGTCGCCTGCATCGCATTGAAGAGTGCCGAAGATCGCTGCCGAGGCCATGATCAGTCGGTAGAGCTGTCGTCGGCCGATGTTGTCCCCATGCCTCAAAGGTGGCATGAAGACAAAATGGGCAGCAGTAGCCAATACAGCCGTTACAGTATTTCGGATATTGATAGCGCTGCTCAGATTCACGGTAGGTCGATTGTGGGTATGGTCATGCACAGTTGAAGCTTTCACCACAGTGAGACTTGCACGTCAACTGAGTCTACTGCCGATAGTGCTCATATGACTCATATAAAGCATGAGCCAGTATGGTTGCGGTAGTTCTGATGACACTAGTCACTAGTCGACAGCAACGGCGCGAGCACTGCCGGGTTTCAACCAGCGTTCTGTAACTTTGTGCAATACTGGTCTTGGTACTCCTGCTCTTACCCCAAGGGCCCAAGCACCTAACAATCATATACTCTCCAAAATCCTAACCTACATACCTACTAGCCTAAAACCCAGTACCCAATTATTGGATCCTTTGGACACTTGAAGTTAGTGCCTTGACTATAGTGCACGTCACACACTCTGGTATGCTCTCGAAATTTAGGGGTTTTAGGGGTTTGGAGATTTAGGGATAGGGTTTAGGGTTTGGGAAGTTAGGTTTTTTGTTTGCAGGGGGGCTTAGGGGCTTTGTTCTTAAAGTGTAAATAAAGGCTAGGATCTCAGGGCTTTCTGGCTTCTAGGTCTTGATGGCCAGAACACCCAGACCTTCCAAAATCCCTTAATTAAGGAATATACCCTAAATCATATTAAGGGTCCTACTATAATTTAAGGTATATTCCTTAATTAAGGGGTTTTGGAAGGTCTGGGCAAGCCGTTGGGGTCCATTGTACAACTACGGACGAAAAGAGGAGATTTCAAACTACTCCTACGCCCGACCCCCTCTTCGATGCTGATTCGCGCTTGGGCCTGGACGTCGAAAAAAACAGACGCGGACAAGCTCACTGCACCAAGGTGTCTCTACTCTAGTCTTCTTCGAATTGTTCAGCGCATGTTGTTGCAAAGCCAAGACTCTAAACCCTAAAAATTCTGACTGCGGAGATCAGAGAATATGTGAAGAAGCATCCCCATGCATCTACCGACATAAAACCCGACAGAATTGCTTCTGGAACCTTCTGGAATGAAATACATCCTGCACCCTGCTGCCCTAAGCCCTAAACCCCAAGCCATGCTTCTCCATACATCCCTCAGTAGAGCTCAAGCATGGAGACTGAAGCAAAAGGTCACGGCGGGACGGCGATGCTTCAATTGAAACTTGCTATACCCCCGAAGCCTAGGCCACACACGAACATCCGAACACTACCAGCCACACAGACCATAATTGTGGGCAAAATCCATGCCATTCACCCAGGCATAATAGAGGGGCATTGACCGCATAAGCATAATAAGGAACCCCAAGGCCCAAGGCAAGAAGCACCCGATCATGGTGATGCTCACACACACACACACACACACCTAACTTTTAACCCAACCTTGATGCCTTAAATCCCTATGCAGTCAACACGCAACCCTAGAATACCCCCTACGCCCCCAAAGCCTAAATCTCAGCAATGGCACGAACCCCAATACCCTGATAGAGACATTGCCCGAAACCCTAAACCGCAGGGGCCCTGCTGCCGCAACTCGCAAGGCGAAACACTTCTACCCGAAGACCGAGAATTCGAAAGGACTACTATATCACAGTGTTCTATATGGTAGTATGTTACTGTAGGAAACTATATTACAGTATAGCATATGGTAATTATAGTGCATGTGACTGTAAAGGTTCTATTCACCCAAGGAAGCAGCTTGACAATGACCAGGAATCTGCACAGAGCTTCAGTAGCAGATGGATACTCTGCAGACCTCTCGACATCTGTAGCACACTTGGCATGGAAGCACCCGTCTCAAATATGATGATCGACGAGATACCATAATGGCTGATGCGAGCATGCTAACACTCTAAGTTGTCAAACCCTGCCAATCCGGTATGCTGTTGTGAAATACTTCCAGCTTCAGCTTCAGCAAGCAACGAACCTCGCAATCCTAAACCCTAGACTCTAAAGCCCCAAGAAACCGTGAACCCTGAAACCCAACAACCCTAAACTTACATATGAATTCGAAGCCTTAACTTCCGAAAGAAAAAGAGCCGCACATCATGCAATGTCAGAGGTTGCACCTTTGGCATCAGCACCACGGGTGCCTCCCGGGCACTTTCTTTAAGCTTCCATGAGCTCTTACTATTTAAATTAATAGGGTTTTGGGGAGATATGATATGATGCAAATCCTGTTTATAAGCAAGCCCCAAACTAGTGTTGGTAAATATTTAGGCATTCAATCAGGGTTTAAGGTTTCGGATTTGGGGATATCAGCGCTCGACCGGAAGGTGGTTGGCTTTGTGAGGCTGAGGTGCCCAAGTCAGTAATAAAAAACCGGTTCTGAATGAGTGCTTGTTAGGGGCAGGGTCTCAAAATTAGATTTTGAAACAGAACATTTCGAAGGCTTTGTGAACTCTACACTAGTGCCACCAGGGGAAGGGAGAGCGATTGGTATGACCACTACTAACGACTTGGATATTGCAAGTATCCGGCCTTTTATGTCAGCCCATCTTACAGCATTCAGTCTCCTTTCTTGCAACTTGCCTCATAAACCTAGGGTGAAGAATGTTTAAAGGTCTGCAGGTAATGAACCAGTATGTCTTGCTAAAGTAGCCACCTAGAACGAAAGCTAACCTCTGTTGTCTTAGAAGGACAAACCCTAAACCCTAAACCCTAAACCCTAAAAAGGCGCGAGCCCTAAGGCCCCTTCACCCTCAGCCCTAATCCCCCAAAGCCCCAGCCACGCCTCGCGGCGGGATTCCACCGCACCATCGCGGTAAAGTCGAAAAAATGGGAAGAGAAGGAGCTTATTGGGCTTAGGTGCTTAGGGGCTGAACAGGTTTTAGGGAGATTTGTTTCAGTGCTTAGGATTACGGTTTACGGTGTAGCATCTGAGCTTAGGGTTTGGGGTTAAAGTCTTGTTCTGTTTCAGTTCTGCCCAAAAAAACCCTCCCGCCTAAGCACTCAACCTTAAGCCCTTAGCCCCAAACCCCAAACCCTACACCCTAGACCCTACTGTCTTGTGGCGGCTGAGGCTACGGGGGGAGGGTCCTCCCAGCTTCGACTTCTTACTTCGGGCTCAAGACTCTCGCGATTGGAGTCAGAGCGCTGGGGCGGTCGGATTCCGAATTCAAGATCTAAGGATGTTTTGGGTTTAGGGTGTAGGGTTCAAGATTTAGGGTTGAGGGTTTAGGGATGTTTTGGGGTTTGGGGCGACCAAAGTAATGCGACCTTCCTTGAGCCAGGAATGCTACGACATTGATTTAGGGTTTAGGGCTTAAGGTTTAGGGTTTAGGGAACTACCTACCTTTCTAGGGTTCCTCTCATTATGAATTCGGGCTAAGGTAGGGCTTAGTGCCAAGCTTAGGTTCTACGGCGTGCCATTCTTACTCTTCTTCGGAAGTTTGGGTAAAATGCTGGCATTTTCTATTCTATATGCTGCTTAGGAATGGGTAATGCTGGCATGTTCCATTACGTACAGCCCCACAAAGCCTGTTGAAATCAACCCGACACAAAAAAACCTAAACTATACCCTAAACCCTCAACTCTAAACCCCAAGCTCAACCCCAAACGATATTTACAGGAGCTTCGGAAATTGCAGCTCAGCCGGATCTGCCGCGAGTATCATGCTTCTTCGAAGCCGTACTCTTAAGCAACTCTCTGGGAAGCTGATTTAGGGTCTTAGGGTTCATAGGGTTTAGGTCTTGGGGTTTAGGGTTTAGGGTCTTAGAGTCAAGGAAAAGCTTTTTCGGTGTTGACAACCACTGGCTGCTTCGGCTTAGCTAGGGCGGAGTTAGGATTAGGGGCCCTTGGGGACATAGACCGTCTCACCCAGGCTGTTTAGGGTTTAGGTCTCTAATTCGATCTACGTAGGATTCGGGTGTTATCGGGCTTCCTTGACACTTCAGCATGCGAAAGCCCAGGAGGGCAAGAACTATCTATCCGAGCCCCAGCACGCCTATGTGGGGTAGGGTTTAGTTGAGGGTGCAGGGGTTTAGGGGTTTAGGGGTTTGGGGGTTTGGGGGTTTCGGGTTTAGGGGTTTGGGGGTTGTAGGGGTTTGGGGGTTGTAGGGGTTTGGGGGTTTGGGGGTTTAGGGTTTAGGGGTTTGGGGGTTTGGGGGCTTGAGGGTTTCGGGGTTTCGGGGGTTGGGGGTTTCGGAGCTTAGGGTTTCGGGGTCCAGGGTATATCCTGCATATGTACCAGGGCATCGTATACGGAAAGATCTCAATCCTCAAGGCCCACAAGAGAGCCGTGGCAGCTCATGAAACCGTATACCAACCCTGACGATCGAACCCCAAAACGAAACAGTCCATCCCCAAAGCCGGATCTATGAGTTGTTGAATGTTTAAGGTTTAGGGTTTAGGGTTGACCCATCAAACGAAAACGCAACACAGAAACATCTCGAAGCCATTAAAGGCATGTTTCGCACGCCGGGCCCGAGAGCAAATACTCTTGAGTGGATCTTTTGGAAGTTTCCGAGAGCACAGGCCTGCGGTTTAGGTCGTCGGGTTTCGTCCCTTTTTAAACCCTAAACCCTAAACCCTGGCCCTTGTAGGGATATAGAGCTTTGGGATGCCTTTCGCGTCCTAGTGAGTGATCGAGTTGTCCTTGCGATCTCAGTGCATCTACAGGGTCTTCATCCTTCTATAGGTATATATTTGTCTTACGTGTGGGTTGGGGTCTTGGGCCGTCGGCATAATATCTCGAACTCCTAGAGGTTATTCCGGTGGTAGCGACCTCCCGTGAACAGTCAACCGAGTCTCGAAAACTGGTGATGATGCGGTGTCGTGTTAGAGGATTCCTGCTTGCGCGGCAGGAATCTACCCTTTGGTTCGCATTTTAATTTGGGATAAGGGTTTACTCGCCTCGTCCTTTATGCAACCCCTAGCCCTGAATCCAGCAGGCCCAGCAGCCCGAAAAATTACAGGCGTTAACACTGTGCAGGAGCCGTGGTCAACTTGCTGGCATCCATAGGAGTCGAGATAAAAGCAATGTGTCTTGCGGCTTCAATGCCTAAAGAGGATAAAGCTGTTTTCGTTGTTAAAGTTTGATCATGAGGGCTATGGGCTTATGGGATTTTTGGCAAGCCCATACTCGAAGCCTTCAAAGAGTTGAGGACGTGAGGGTTTGAGGGAAGCCCGGCCCAACTCCTTCGGAAGTTTGCTGCGAGCAAGCTGTCATGAATCGATCGACGGCGAGTGGTGTGAGACATGATGCCGAGATATTATTCATCTCGATAGTGAGGTTTAGCATGTAGGGCTCGGAGTTCAGGCTTTGGGTCACCGCGAAGGGTGAGATCAAATCAGAACCCTTCAACATCCCTCTCTGTAGACCTGAGCTTGAACACCAGACGATAATTACTCGATTTTGAATACCTAACTAAATTTACATCCTAAACCCCTAGTAGTAGGAGCAGTAGCAGCAGCAGCAGCAGCAGCAGCAGCAGCAGCAGCAGGAGTAGTAGCAGCAGCAGCAGCAGCAGCAGCAGCAGGAGTAGTAGTAGTAGTAGTAGTAGTAGTAGTAGTAGTAGTAGTAGTAGTAGTAGTAGTAGTAGTCGTAGTAGTAGTAGTAGTAGTAGTAGTAGTAGTAGTAGTAGTAGTAGTAGTAGTAGTAGTAGTAGTAGTAGTAGTAGTAGTAGTAGTAGTACGTAGTAGTAGTAGTAGTAGTAGTAGTAGTAGTAGTAGTAGTAGTAGTAGTAGTAGTAGTAGTAGTAGTAGTAGTAGAGGATACTTATGGGGTCAAGGCTCAGGGTTTAGGGATTGTTTAGGGTTGAGGGTTTGGGAGTTGCGCTTCTACGGCACGGTTATGGGGAGGGGTCGGTAATTTAGGCATAGACTATCTCAGCAAGATCTCGACAATCGTTAAAGACTCGCGTCCAGCTGCTGCTGCGGAGCCACCGTGGCGAACTTGGCGCTTTGCGCCTGCGAGAGGTATCGAAATTATCTGCATGGCTTCGAGAATCTTTTGCAAGGCTTTAGGGTCTACCGAGTTGAATTTGATGTCAGGTTCGGGGCTTTTAAGGGTTGCAGTATTGAGGATTTGAGGGTTGAGGCGCCGGTGTGGTGAGGGCTTTGCTTTGACGTTGGATTGTCTGACTCTTTCGGCTTTCGGGAAGCGAAAGCCCTGTGGCCCCAGACCCTAAATCCAAACCCCTTGTCGAACCCCTACAAGCCCGTTTTGAACCCCAATGTGCTTAAAACCCTCAACCCTAAGTCAACTCGCTGAATAAACAATTGAATAAACAAAGCCCACATGATACCCAGGTGCAAACAAGGTACGGCACAAGCCAACAGAAAAGACACCGCCCTAGACGAACATGACGCAACATGTTATGGAAAACTTGCGAACATCGAACCCTAAACCCTAAACCCTAAACCCTCAACCCTAAACCCTAAACCCTAAACCCAGCCCCCGGAACTCGTAAAGCTGCCAACCCTTCAACCTTCAAAATCCTTCAATCTCTAACCCACCCGAAACCGTTCGCCTGCGCCCCGTAGTGAGAAGTATTAATAAGAATAGGGTCCATTTATTAGGCCCTTTGTAAATCTATAAATGTCTATATAAGGGCTATTATAAACGATACGATAATTACTTGCAGCTTTTCGAGTGAGACTGCGGCCCGAGCTACGAGGTTAGGGCTCATGGATGGTCGAAAACATCCATAGACCCCCGGGCCCCTCCCTTCCAGAGGTCAAACATAGGATCCTTTCTGCTGGATAATTATTACTTACTTCCCCAATAAGCCACGGAAATGAAAGGTTAAACTTTCCGGTTCCTACTAAACCATAAGAACCCAAAAAGTTTAAAGGTTGGGTATTGGGGATCTAAGATTAGTAAGGACCACATTATCAAAGAAAGGGAGTTCACTCGTTCCGGGATCTACAGTGTAGCGACTACCGAACTTTTGTCTAACCCTTACAACCCTTCCATAAAGCCCCGTTGATCCCTAAACCCTAAACCCTAAACCCCTAAACCCCTAAACCTTAAACCCTGAACCCCTAAACCCTAAACCCCTAAACCCCTAAACCCTAAACCCCTAAACCCTAAACCCTAAACCCTAAACCTTAAACCCCTAAAACCCTAAACCCCAATTCAAACTCTTCTGGGATTCCCCGCCGAAGAGCTCGCCCTGAGACCCGCAGCGTCCTTCAAGAAATAGGGTTGCTTTGGCCCTTCGGGCTCCCTTAAGGGCTAAACCCTAACCCTAAACCCCTAAACCCTAAGTTGAAGGTTAGGGTTCCCTTAAGGGTTAAAGGTTAGGGTTTAGTAAGGTTCCCTTAAGGGTTAAAGGTTAGGGTTTAGAGTTTAGGGTTAGGGGTTAGGGTTCCCTTAAGGGTTCCCTTAGGGATTATCGAGGGTTGTGGTTGACGGAGTGCGGGGCTCGCTTGGGTTGTACGGAGTTCTATGCGCCTTTTTAGGGGCGTAGGCGGGTCTTGTTGAGGTTTAGACATTCTGTGCCTCTTTGGGATGGGTCGGTGTATACTATGAGGTGCTGTAGTTGTAGCTGTTGAGACGCCCGACTCGGAACCCCCAAACCCTAACCCCTAAACTCCGAACCCCCACACACTTGAAATCCGAACCCCAACTAAACTCCTACACCTAAACTGCCAAAGAACTGAACCTGGATTCCAAACCCTACAAACCGACCCTAACCCCACACTCTAAACGATCGAACTCACACCAAAAGAAGAAGGACTGAACGGACTGAACCAAAAGCCCAAAGAGCCCTAAAAGACCTGAGGCAACATTGCTCAAGAATGGCTTTTTGAATCTTCATGGGTCGCTCATCGCCGCTGCCGGCGCCGTCCTGGCCAGAGGTGGAGGAGTTGACGAACCTATCAACCTATCCAAAGCGAAAGACATAAACCCCCCGCCCCAACCCCCCCCCCCCCGAAACCCTAAACCCTAAACCCCAAAGCCCGAAATAGCCACCTTTAGGGGTGGTTGTCAAAATTAGGGTCCCTTTTTGGGTCCCTAATATACTGTGGCACCAAGTATCTATGGGGTACCAGAAAAAGACCATAATTTTGACAACTACCTTTATGAAGGAACCAGCTTCATCTTCGGACACCCGCCAGCTCCGACAACAAACCTTACACCCCTCGATCCGATCCTTGAAACCGTAAAATCCCAAACCCTAAACCCCTTATGCAACCCGTACCGGAAACCTTGTAGAACCCAATAAGAGGAACCTTAGAAGTAACCCACAGCGCTCAACACTCTCCCCAAACCCTTTTCATAATCTCTGTAAGCCCTGAACTTGTCCCAAACTCGAATCTCTAAACCCTAAATTCGCCCTGAACTCGAATCCCAAAACCCCCCAGCCCTGGCTCTAAGCTCGAATCCTTGAACCCCTACACCCTAAACCCTGGTCCCTGCCTGTCAGACGGAGACCCAGACCTGCGACTTCGCTACTCCGAGCCCCAGATCAACCTCAGCGAGAGAGGCTCTCTGAGTCTCAGAGGGTAAGAAGGGCTTCGGGCGGTTCAGGGTTTAGAGTTTTTAAGGGTTTCGGGGTTTAGAGCTTTTAAGGGTTTCGGGGTTTAGCTGTTTAGAGTTTTTAAGGGTTTCGGGGTTTAGGGGTTTCGGGGTTGGGGGCTTAGGCCGGTTACTGCGTTTAGAGGTTCAGGGCTTCGCCGCAGCCAGTATCAAAGGCCCCGGAAACCCTGAACTCGAAATAAGGGCCATCGGAGTCTCCAAGGACCCGGCCATTTGGGAGCAATCCTTCAATGTCGCCGGGGCTTCAAGACGCGACCTGTCTCTCCAAGCAAAAGAAAGGGTTGAGGGTTTAGGGTTTAGGCTTCAAAAAGAAGACGGAGAAGAAGGGTGAAGAATGTACGGTTTGGGACTTCGGGTTTGGGGTAGGGCGAAGCAAATAATCAACAAACAAAAGCGATTGCTGGGATTTGGAGTTTGGAAGTGGGTCTTGGGTTGAAGAACTGTGGTGTTTGAGGGCTGCAGAGTTTATGAGCAAGATCTATCCTAAACCCTAAAGGGTTTAGGGTTTAGGGTTTCATAGTCTTGACTTTCAGGCTTCATAGGCTTCCGCGAACCACCCAAGGAACAAGTGCCCTTGACCCCCCAAAACTCGTTAAACTAAAATTCCCAAAACAGGATTAAGGAAGGAGCCCAGAGGGTCTGAATTTCGGGCAGGGACGAAGGGAGATGACAGCTATGTACTTTTTAAGCGACCTCATGGTACCTTAAAATAAGAAATTGGCAGCTATGTACTTGTTAAGCGAACTCATGCTCGGGGTCCCCTTGAAATAAGAACCTGATGAGGAAACCCTGGCCCTTTAATCCCAATATCTTAGGATTCACACTAAGAGCCCTAGTAAAGGCCCAGGGGTTCTTGCTCAGGCTCCTAGGGTTCCTGAGCAGCCTTTACACAATAAGAGGACCATTAGTCCTACTACTTGGTTCTAATAACCTTAAGGACGACATGAACCCTAAAAGGGTTTAAGGTTCATATACCATATAGGAATTCATAGTATATGGGTATAGGGCCCCTACTTTTAAGGGTCATTTGGTCCTTCAGGAAGGGAACCCAAAAAGCAAAAGGGCAAAAGTGTACTGCTGATGAACCCTTCCACGTGACCATAAAGGAAACCCTAGACCTTAAACCCTGCTGGGGAACCCAGTACAAGACCATTCTGGTGCACCTCTATCGCCCTTCACAGGATCTTTGAAGTGCAAACTTAAGAGATTCTGGCAAGCGATCCTGCGGCTAGGGGCTTTGGGTTTTTGGGGTTTAGGGGTTTAGGGTTTAGGGGTCGTGGGTTTCGGGGGTTCAGGGGTTTAGAGCCTTAGGGTTTACTTTCTTGTGCGCGCTTTGGGGTGCATTCAGGGTTGCAGGAGGTTGAGGGTGAAGGCGTTTAGAGTGCAGGGTGATACTTCAGGGTTGAGTTGATCGAAACTCTGGTTACATCGTTTTCCCTCTCTGAGATCCGCCTTTGTTGTGATTCTTCTCGTCGCGATTCTGCGTATCTTATAAGTTGCCTGGAACTCCCGCAGATGGGGGCGCCGCGAATGCAAGTTGGAAGCACCGTACACCAAATCTCCCCATGCTCCTGCCCTACCGTACTCTCTACACCCCAAAATTACTCCTTAACCCACCAAGGCTTAAACTCAAACTCCGTAACTTGTCCTGAGAATCTTTCAGTTCATCAGATCGCAATCTTTGCACTCCAAAATTAATACGACCGACTCAGGATTCAGGGTTTAGGTCCCAAAATCCACCTGCTGATGATCTCCGTCGCCGTTTGCTTGTCGGAGTACAAAGCCGAGAACATGTCCAAGCCTGTCGGCTGCAACGTGAGGGGTAAAGGGTACTGCAGGGCTCTATCATAGGATCCCTGTAAGGGAACACTAGGGTTCCACAATAGGTTCCCTTCAAGGGTACTCTGGGATGAAGGGCTTAGGATTCCGCGCCCAGGGGAAGGAGTTTAAGGCTCAGTGTTGGGGATGTATGGCCTCGGATCCTATATAGATGGGCAGTTCTCTGATTAGGGTCCCTCTTAGGTCCCTTAATGTCCCTTAGAAGGGTACCGTACTGTTTTTGGGGACCTAAACCCGGATCCTAATTTAGAGAACTGCCAATGTTCTGCACATTACTGTAAGGCAGCTACACAAGCTACTATAAGGTTACCATAAGGCTAAGATGACATGAAGAGATGTTGGAGTAAACGCCTAAGGCAGCTAGAGCCCGTAAGCTTCAAAACTGTTTATCAGCCCTAAGCTCCAACATCCCGACACGCCGAGCACTCAGTCAGTTCACAATCGAGAAGAAGCCTCTGCGCTAGGGTATGCTACAAAAATTTTTACAAGGGCACTATTATCATTTTTTGTTGAATATTCCGACAGCTATAGCAGACCATGAAAACCCTATATTCCCGTTCAAAGAGTCATAAACCTCGCAATCCTACAACACTGACAAGGGGGTGACCGCCACCCTAAAGAGAAACATAGCCCCTAAACCTAAACCCTCAACCCTGAACCCTAAATCCCAAACCCTGAAGCCCTAGCCCTAAACCCTAAACCCTAGACCCTAAACCCTACCCTGAAGCCTGATGGGTTCTTTTTCCTTCGCTTCCCTCTGCATGACCTGCTTCTTCCATTCTTCTTGGCCTAAGCCCGACAACCCCTATAGGAGCTAAACCCGAAACCCTCAGAAAAAAAAACGCCCAACCCCAACTCTTAACCCTAAACCCTAAACCCTAAACCCAAAACACTAAACCCTAAACCCGGCTTTCCCTGAACCCTGAACCTTAAACCCAAACTCCTAGTAGCCGAAGGAACAAAGCACGAGCCTCGGTACGTCGGCTTCGCGAAGTATTCCTCTGGATGCTTTAGGGCTTTTTCTAAAGCTGAACTGCACTCCCTTTCCGAAGATGGCTCAGGGGTTTAAGGTTTTTTATAAAGCAAAATCGGACCTTTTCGGGTTTAGGGTTTTGGGCTTGAGGGTGGAAGGGCGTGGGATTTAAGGATCAGGGCCGCTTAGGGCTGCGAACTTAGGGCCTAAGGTTTAGGAATTAGGGTTTGAAGGTTTAGAATTTAAGGTTTAGGGTTTGAAGGTTAGGAGTTAGGGTTTAGGGTTTAAGGTTTAGGAATGAGGGCTCACGTTTTAGAGCATAGGGCTTGCAGGAGGAAGGTTGTCGCAAAGTCACGGTTCCTCCAACTCGAGGACCCCATCGTTCATGTGGTCGAATACCACATGCAAAGGAGCGAAGATGCAGAGAGGACAGAGTGCCAGTCGCAGCGAAAATGCAAAAGTTGGCCTGATGCCAGCTGGGATTTCCAAGAAGGCTAGAAAGCCAGAAGAGTTTAGGGTTTTGGCGCAAGGCTGTGGAGCTTAGGGCATTACGCTTTAAGGTTTGGGGCTTTGGGATTAATGTCGGGTTTCGAGGCTCTGGGTCGAGGGTTTGGGGCTTAACGCTTTAGCGCTTGAGAGGCAAACGCAGGTGCTCCAGAAAGGCTGACAGAAACCCCTTCCTCCGTATGGGAAGCAGAATGGAGGGATGTTGGCGACGGACTCTGTGGAAACCTGAGGTTTAGCGTTTAGGGTTTAGGGTTTAGGGGTTTATAGGGTTTAGGGGTTTAGGGTTTAGGGGTTTAGGGTTTAGGGTTTAGGGTGAGGTTATCCTGATCAGGATAGGCAGAGATTCCGATGCACTCGGGTGCCTCACGGCGATGGAAAAACTGAACACACAACAAGACTAACAAGACCCTCAATGCTCTGAGCCATCGAGATGCCAGAACAATCGCCAAACCCCAACACTGTCCAGCCTACCGCCTTTTCCCCCGCAAAGCCTGAACCAAGCCTTAAACCCCAGAACCCAAACTTCAGCCCTGCAACCCTTATGATAAAACCCCCAAAGCCTAAAACCTAAACCCCAAATCCCAAAGTCCCGGAAATTACCCGAGCCTAAACCCTTAAACCCCTAAATCCTTAACCCCTAAACCCCTGAACCCTTAAACCCTCTAAACCCTAAACCCCTCATCCCTAAACCCGAAATCCCTAAACCCCTCGCAATTCGACTGAGACCGAGGCGACTCCCTCAGGGCTGTTCGAATTCCAGCCTCGGCTTCAGTTCAGGGATTGGGGTTTGAGGCTTAGGGATTGGGGTGTAGGGTTTAGGGTTTAGGGTTTGGAGCGTTTGACGGATTTAGAGGGTTTAGCGTTTAGGGATTGAGGCAAGTGGTCAACAAGAAGAACCGCAGTCCCTTAAGAGGGGGTATTCAGGGTTGACGGCTTGAGGTTTGGGGGGGTTAATATAGGGGCCTTAATAATTAGAATCGGGTTTCGGAGTATACGATACTACAATCCTACTAAGGAACCCCCGAAATAGTATAGGTCATTATTAAGGCCCCCTATATTAAGGGTTTGGGAGTTTTAGGGCCTGCGGTGGGATGTAGAGCTGTAGGGCTCCAGGGGTTTAGGGTTTAGGGTTCGAAGGTTTAGGGTTTAGCGCTTAGCGTTTGAAGGTTTAGGATTCAGGGCTTAGGGCTTCGGGTTTAGGGTCTACGAGTTTAGGGTTTAGGGTTTAGGGCTTTAGGGCTGCGGGTTTGAAGCTAAGTTCGCCCTCAGTTGCGGCAGAGACTCCTGGGCTTAAGAACGCACGGTTGAGGGTTATAGGGTTCAGGTTTTCAAGGTCAAAAGGCTTTATAAGGATATGTAGGATTTAGGATTTACGGTTTCGGGTTAGGGATTTAGGGTTTAGGGCTTTAGGGTGTAAAGGTTAGGGCCCTAAACCCTAAACCCTAAACCCTAGACCCTAAACCCTAAACCCTAAACCCTAAACCCTGAAACCTAAACCCTAAACCGTAAAGGTTAGGGTATTCGCTTGCATGCATTTACCTCTGCGGACTCTGTTGCTTGCGCACTAGCAGGCTGAGGAGGAGCCTGGTAGGCCAAGCGGAGCATGGTTCTAGTACCCTGAACCTTTAAGGTTATACCGTAAGATATACTATATAAGCATATATACATATATATATATATATATATCTTTATTTATAATATTGCGTCAGCACCCCTCACTACTTTCCAACGCCACTATCCTAAAGCTTAGAGTGCGCACCCGAGGAGTCCTTCCCAATGCCGCACTCTAGTTGTTAAGGCCCCTCCTAGAGTTAAAGCCCAAATTCGAAGCCTCCTCCTACCCTAAACCCCGTACCTTCTATCCCAGACCTTGAACCCAGATTAGCTCTTAAACCCTAAACCCTAGTTAGGAACTCCGTCTCGAATCCTCAAACCGAATCTTGCGTCCTCTTGCTTCTGAACATCTAAGCTTCCTTTGCCCCCTCACCTGTCGGCTCCTTCAAGAGCTCCTTCAATGGGCTCCTTTAAGGGGGTCCTTTAAGGGTCAACCAAAGGATTTGGGGTTTTGGGTTTTTTGCACACATGTAGTGGTGGCGCCAAAACGCGATACTAATCATGCCTGAGACCACTTAGAGGATCATGGGACTTAATTAGTAACTAGGGCTATAATTAAGGTAACTATACTTATAATTACTTATAACCCCAACTAAGGTGCTTACAACCATACTTACTAAGTCCCATGATCCTCCAAGCACTGTAGTAGGCGCCCAACCGTCAAAGAAGTGGAAGAAGGCTAAATCTTCCACCTGCGGGCTGCGATATGATTAGGAGCTGGGTTTCCAAGATGCCCGTCTTGTCTAGCCAGTGGTTTTGGGGTTCTCAGCTCCTTATCATCCCTGGCTCCTTAGAAACTCCAATATCAATGGTTAGTTGTTCAACCTAAGCCCTACACACTTGAACCGTAAGGTTCCGGATTCAAAACACTAGGGCCGAGTTCACGTAAGGCGACGGATGTCTGCTGTTCATGTTTCAGGAGATGGGGGTCAGTTTAGGCCTGGGATATGGAGTTTTGCTATGTAGGATCCCTTGAAACCCTGAACAATCAGGATATGGGCTTCAACTACTAAGCAAAGGGCTTGGGGGAACATAGAGTGCAATGAACTAGGCAATATACAGATAAATACATACATGCATGCATACATACATAGGTTCGTACGTCCGTGCATGCATGCATGCATGCATACATTCCTTGTTTTGTGCATTTGTGCATGTAAATAAACACATGCTTGGTAAAGAAGAAGCGTGAGTCTGTTGAAACCCGCAGCAGTACATGGTCTACGGCTTAGGGACTTAGGGGTTTAGTGGTTTAGGGCTTTGGATGTGGGGGATACTGTTGCCAATCACTCGCGAACCCTTTGTAGAAATCTCAAAGCAGCCTTAAGGTGGCAGGAACACCTGGGCCTCCTCAAAACTGCGCAATCCAAGGCTCCAAGGACGCAAAAAACCGCCAAGTCAGGGTTTAGGGCACAGGTCTTTAGACCTGACGAGCTGAGGAGTTTAGAGTCTGCAGGGTTGTGGTGCGAAGGGCTCGAAGCCCTTCAGGGTTCGGGGTTTACCTGATAACATGACAAGAAAACACAAATTTCGAACCCCAAACCCCCAGAAGTGAACTCCAAATTAAGAAAAACCAGAAATCCCCAAACCCAAACCTCTACAGAGCCCTCTCGGAAGTTCAGAACCCCTGTTCAAACCGAAAGCCCATATAAAAGCTCATGGCGTGGTACTTGAAAAAAACTAGTATATTCATTCTGCAACAACAAACACACACACAAGCATTCCTGGCAACCCTTTTTCACAAACCGTCGCATGAATCCGAGTTCACACAAAACCCCCTCCCTCAAACCTCAATCCTTAGCCCTCAACCCTAAACAAGCCCAAACCCCAATTCGCCTCGGCGGAGAAACCAAGCCCCTCGAAGCGCGCCGCATTCGCAAAGATGTTGGGGTCGAGCCTCCGGCATAATTCCTTCTTTCAGGGCTCCTCTAGGGCTTCTATTACGGGTTCCTGAAGGGTTCCTTTAAGGGTTCTACAGAGCTCCTTTAAGGGTTCTGCAAGGGTGGCTTAAGGATTTGAATCATGACTCCTTTAATGGCTCCTTCGCGGGTTCGTTAGAGGGTGATGGAAGATTGAGGCTCCTGTAAGGGTAACCACGGTTTAGGGTTTAGGGTTTAGGGTTTAGGGGCGGTATGATTTTTTTTGCTCTGTTGGAGAGTGCAGCGGCGGAGTTTAGGGGTCTGGGGTTTGAGGGTTCAAAGGCTTTCCAAGGGTCTAGGGGCTTAAACCCTAAACCCAAGGCCCCTAATTTGGTATTTCTGACGTTTATCCAAAACCGTTGATCCCAATTCTTGCGGTGACGTTTCGCTTTCTGCATACGGGCTCATTCTTGCTGGTTCAGAATCTTGGTTTCGGCTGGAGACTTTCGAGGTAGGCCGGTTGAGGCCATAGGGGGGTTAGATTAGAGGCTTGAGCAGCTTGGATATGTCACGGCTGGTGAAACCCTTAGCATCCCCTGACCTCGCATGCTTGCGCGTCCCGTGGTCTGATGACGGTAGCGTCTGCCACTCTGGGGGAGAAGTCTGCGTAGAAGATGTTCATGTGCCGGACTTTCGTCTGAGGAAGCAATCCGTTTTGGACGAGAACCCGAACCAATTGACCCTTTAACGCAGGGGCCCTCTACCCATATACTATGAACCCCTATATGGTATATGAACCTTAAACCCTTTTAGGGTTCATTTCGTCCTTAAGGAATTGCTCTCCGAGAGGCCCAAGTATGTTCGGATGCAACTGGGCCCGACCCATGTGCATTGCTGGCACCGACGAAAAGCATCTGACCTGTCGTCCACGTGCTACTATAAGGGACTCAATAATTGTGAGCTGGGATTTGGGGCGTACTATACTATCAGTAGAACAAGGAGCCCCCAAAATAGTACATGCGAGCTGACTTGCCTTGACGGCCACTTAAAGCCCCCAAAGAAGCTCCTAGAAGAAACACAGAAGCCCGGGCTGTGGCCCTGACGGTGCCCACGCCGGAACAGCAGGAAGGGGCTCCTTGGCAGCAGCGGAGGACTAACTACTGTTGATGATATATACATCCTGCATTACCCATAATTATAAGGAATATACCATGATTCCCATAGTTCAGCCCCCGTAAAGTAAGGCAGCATTTATACCATCAACCGTAGGTTTGGGGCTGCGGTATGGGATTTAAAGACGACTTAGGGTTTCGGGTTTAGGACAAGTGAAACCTTCATCCTAGTCTGGGGTATCAAGGTTTGACACGTTCCTTTGCCGGGAAGTCAGGGGTTCCTAGAGACTTCAAAGATTCAGAAATTCAGAACCCCCCGTAGCTCAGTAATATACAAGTTGAAATGCGGCAGTATCTCTCATATTGATTTACAGTAGAGTATACTCCACATTTACGGTGCCGTGGAGCTTCCGGGTTGCCTGGGGGCCCGGACTTATCCTTGGACAAGTCCTCGAAGCCATGGGATAGAGCGATGGCACTACAGCAGTCCTTATAGTAATATACCTTGTTGGTAACGCTTATAGTAATAGTAATCTAGCAACCCTTGTAGTAACCCTTATAGTTTATATAGTAACCCTTATAGCAACCTTGTAAGTTGCAGGAGGGCTGACTCTCCGATATGGTGAAGAGGCCGCCTGGAGGCCTTAGTACTTGGAATCGATTCTGAGGGGCATGTTTAGCTGAGTTTTTTCTAAGTAGCCCATAGGAATAGTGTTACAATAAACCTCCCATCTAAGAGTATATATAAGGACATCATAACATGCTGCCTAAACAAGAGGGTTTTCAGGGATGTTTCTTTGCGTTCGAGTATTTATGACCCTAAACCATCCTAAGCCGGAAACCTTAAGCTAACCCTAGACCCTAAACCGAAATCCCTAAACCCTAAACCTCAAAACAAAACCCTGAACCGTTAACTAACCCTCAACCACCAAACTTATCTTTGGTTAGTAGGGAATGCAGGAATGGGGTACAAGTATAACTACTAAACCCTAAACCCTAAACCCTAAACTCCTACCATTCTTCCACTCCCTATACTCCCTAAACCCTACACCCTACACCCCTCCCGAGCTGAGCCGCCGGCATCATCGACGAGTGGGCAGCTACCTAGGAAGAGGCTGAAGGCCAGTTGATCCTCGGTGCTTGGTTTATGGATTAAGGCTTGGGGTTTAGGGCTTAGCGTCTTAGGGTTTGGGGTTTACAGTTTCGGGTTTGGGTTAAGGGTAGGATCTAGGGTTTACGGTTTGGGGATTTGGGGTTTAGGGATTGGGGTTTACGGTTTGGGGATTTGGGGTTTAGGGTTCTCGGGTTTGGGGTTTAGGGTTGAGGGTAGGATTTAGGGTTTGGGGTTTAGGGCTTGGGGTTTAGGGTTTAGGCTGGTTTAGGGATTGGGGTTTAGGGATTGGGGTTTGGGGGTTTGGGGGGTTTAGGGTTTGAGGTTTGGGGTTTGGAAGCTTTGGTTTAGGGATTGGGGTTTAGGGTTTGGGGTTTGGGGGTCTGGGGTTTAGGGATTGGGGTTTAGGGTTTGGGGTTTCGGTTTTCGGGAGTGGGGTTTGGGGGTTTAGGGTTTAAGGTTTAGGAAATGGGGCTTAGGGTTTGGGGTTTGGGGTTTAGGGTTTAGGGTTTGGGGTTGAGGGTTTGGGGTTTCGGTTTTAGGGATTGGGGTTTGGGGGTTTGGGGGTTTAGGGTTTAGGGTTTGGAGTTTGGGGTTTAGGGTTTAGGGGTTCTATAGGGGTTTGGGGCTTGGGGGTTTGGGGTTTAGGGTTTGGAGGCTTAGGCATTCTCAACCCCAAACCCTAGTGGAGTTGTGTAAGAGTTGCGTAAGCGTGCTGTCAAAAACTGTTGAAGGGTTCTATAGTAATTCATCGTGTAGTAGAAAATGTTTAGGGCTTAAATTGACGCTTGAATATTGGGCGGGCTTGGTTTGAGCATTGTACCCTTGGTGATATTAGTACACCCTAAGGAAGGCTGGCTCGAAATATCTACACCCCTACATTAGACTTCAAACTCTAAACCCTGGATCCTGCACCCACCCAATGAAACTCGACCACAAACCCTCAACCCTGAACCTTGAACACCCAAAAGCCTGAGCAATTCCCCCAAGCCTTGGCAGGAAGGGCGTCGTATCACCCAATAAACCCCAAGCCCGAACGGATCATGCCCGACCCTATCCCAAACCCTAAACTCTAGACTTTCGACCATCCACAGCCCGTCCCTGGCAAGTGCTACTCCGCAAAAGGCTACACGACAGATTCCTACGGCTCATACTGGACCAGCAGAAGATGTCGTCGGCCTGTTTCGGTAGAACAAGCACACCGGGGCAATGATGGAAGTTAGTAGATATCTGTTGCGAACTGAGTGGCCTTCGCAATGGGAGTAGGATGTGGGGCTCATTAACAAATGTCATGCGTTCACATAGAAAGGCAGAGAGAGAAAAGTATTTCCAGTTACTCGGGCCTCTATAGCACACGGCGCCTGCACTCCGAACTTACCAAACATCATGGGCTTGAACTTCTTGCCCTAGTTCGATTGTTTCTCAAACACTCGAACTAGGGCAAGAAGTTCAAATTGAGGGCTTAACGATCTAGGAGTTTAGGAGTTTAAGATTGAAGATTTTAAGGTGCCAGGTTTAGGGTGTAGGGGTTCAGTTCAGGGGTTGTTCTAATCCCAAAGACCTCAAGCATCAAGTGTAAGGCTGCAGCGTGAACGAACGGCCGACTGTAGATCCAGTCCTTGCCATCACTTTAGGTATGCATGCTGCCCTAAACAACCCTGCACACTTACCCCCTAACCCCATGAACCCTTATGCTGCGAACCCCTAAACGCCCGAAGCTAAACCCCAAAATCCCCTAAAACCCTAAACCTCTCACAACCGGGCCCGGGAGAGCGCTTGTCGTAAGAAAGACACTGCAACGAATCACAGGGCATCCCCCGTAACCCTAAACCCTAGACCCCAGACCTTCTTAACCTTAGACCGTAAATCATGGACCAACCCGGGCCCTCTTGGCCCAAAACCCGAACCCTAACATAGACTTTGTCAGGAGACCTGGCTAAGGTTCACGGGCTGGGCTTTGCGGTTCCTTTTTTTTTTTTGGGGGGGGGGGGGGTTAGGGGGTTCAAGGCACAGGGTTTCAGGGTTTAGGCGTTTAAGGGTTTAGGGGTTTATGGGGCGTTGGGGATTCAGGACTTTTAGAGCTTCATGCATTTAATGAAATTTTGCGGCTTGCGGTTCAGTCCTGAGGGTTACGGTTTAGTGCTTAGGGTTTAGGGTTTAGGATTCAGGCATGCTAGAGCCGACCAATGCCGTGTGATGGAGTTGAAGGAGGTCCTAGGTTGCTCTCTGACTGTGACAATACACTTGATGATACGCGCATACTTCTTTCGAACATCATGCTAACAGCTTCTTTGCCAGAATGTGGCATGTCTTGCCAATGCAGATTCACACAGTATGTACCCTGTCATGCAGTTCGAATGCCAGTATTTTCCATCCTTCACCAGAAATTTGGAAAGAGTACTGTCGCTGCGTTGTCCCAGAGTGTCTTGAACATATTGTTAATACACGAAGCGTCATTGCGGCTTTAGCCGGCCTACCTCATATGTTTCATCCTATCGTTTGATGCAGCAGTAGCTACCAGTTGACATCGCAATGCGGCACTCAGGATCCTCTCGCATGTTGCTGCAAAACCTTCAGGGACGACTTCCTGCTGCGGCCAAGCTGAATTTCAGCACTCGCAGAGTGCTCGACATCCGACAGCGCCTGGGTGCGGGCCCGCCGAGCAGCTTAGGTCCAAGCTCTCGGATTCTTCAGACCTCTTGGGAAACAGGCGGCGCAGTGCTGCCACCCCGTCCCTGCAGCAGCATGATGGTTCCAGTGCGGCATCCAAAAGGGGACCCTTGGTGACGCCGGTGCTGGTGACCGTCGTGCCGAGAGGATGAGGATGACAGTAAAAAAACACGCGGGTCGTCATTTTACTGGTGGTCGGTACTGCTAGCTAGCTACAGCCAACCTCTAAGAGGCTTGGGAAAGGGAGCCAGAACACAGCAACCTGCTGAAACGCAGTAGGGATCCCCAAAGAAGCACCCTAGACTCTAGACCCCAAGCCGTACTTGTAAGGGAAACACCCTCAGCCACCCCCTGAAAAAAGACAATTACACAATTACCGAAGCCCAACTCTCCTCATGAAATACCAAATTCAAATGGCTGTGAATAGATAATAATTAGAAATCGTATGCCGCCATCATCCCCATCAGACTATACTATAATAAACCCCCCAAAAGCGGTTTTGGGATATACTACACCATACCCCAAATTAGTTGCGGTAGTTAAATCGGCGCCAAACCCTACCCACACCCAAAACCCTACCCTAAACCCCAAACCCCACCCTAAACCCTAAACCCTAACCCTAAACGCAGACCCTAAACCCCTAAGCTACCCGCACCCGGGGCTTCCGGCGAGCAGCGACAGCACCCAGGCGACGGCAGGTCCCCGCGACCTCGGCTTGCCGGGTTCCAAAGGCCGCCCAAGGGTTTGAGGTAACCTTGGGCCTTTGTTAGGGTTTAGGGTTTAGGAGTCTGTAAGGGTGACTGTAAGGTATCTATTATAAGGGTAGTATAATAGTGTAGGAACCTGGTTAAGAAACCTTGGGCCTTTCTTGGGGTTCCTTAGATCAATCCTACTATTTTGGGGTTAGAGGCCCAGGGTTTCTTAATCAGGTTCCTACATTACGGTAAACCCCACAAAGTTGGAAACCCGATTAAGGCCAAATAGTGCTGGAATTCCCTATATACATGACTCTTAAGGATTGAGGCTATTGGGTTTCCAACTTTTGGGCTTCCACAAAGAGGGGTGTAGGGGGTCTAGGAGTATCGGGTTTAGCATATTTTGGGTTCAGAGTAGGGTTTTAGGGTTGAGGTTTCAGGCTTTAGGGCTGTAGTGGTTCAGGGTTTAGGGTTTAAGGGTTAGTGGCTTGCGGCTTAGGGCTCAGGATTTAGAGTTTTAGGGTGTCAGGGTTTGGGCTTCGCGGTTTGGGGCTTTAGGGTTTAGGGTTTAGGGTTTAAGGGTTAGTGGGCTGGGATTCAGGGTTTAGGGCTCAGGGTTCAGAGTTTTGGAGTTCGTGGGTTAGGTTTAGGGTTTCGGGCTCAGGCTTTAAGGGTTTGGGGTTTAAGGGTTTCGAGTGTGTTGCTTAGTGTTTGTTTGGTTCAGGGATTAGGGATTTAGGGGTTGAGGGTCTGGGATTTAAGGGTTACTGGTCTTGATGCTTCGGGCTTGGGGGGTTTACGGCGCAGGATTGTGTCGAGTAGAGGTTCTAGCTCGAAACTGGCGCTGAGCGCTTTTGGGGTTTATTGGTTCTGCGTGATTCGAGAAGCAAGGCCTTATGTTTAATTCATGCGGATTCCATAAGAGGTTTGGGGGTTAAGGGCGGGGGTGAGGGCTTAGGGATAAGGCATTGGCTAGCTTCCGAAACGCTGGAGCTGGCGTAATAAAGCCAGGGTTTCTCCTGGTGCAACTGCAGTTTCGCTGACTCATATGCTCTGCTACATGTTCTATCCAGTTACTCACGAAAGATCGATCTGTCTGATTCTCGCTCTGTCGCTCCGTCTCGCTCTCGCTATGGACATGGCCCTCCCTTCTTCCCTGGCGGCTCAGGGCAGGAAGCCAAAGCCCTTGAAGCCTCCGAACACACCGAAAACGCTCAAAAACCAAGAACAATTGTGCAGTCCAAGTGTCTTGGGTTTGGGGACTTCGCATCTGCGGGGTCTTTACCTCAAATTGAACTCCCACTTTCTGGCCCGACACCCGGAACTCGAAGCCCAACACCTCAAACTCTGCCGCCAAACCCCAAGCCCTACACCGCCCTAAACCTCACGCTCTCTCCCTACACCCCACTCCCAGAGCTCCAGCTGTTCGAACCCTCAACGGCGGCTCCGGCCCAAGTTCCCCGGCGGCCGGATCAGGAAGTAGGCGTTCATGGCGCAGTTCCTGGAAAACATTCCACTGAGAGGGATGAGAACTGCAAGGGACCACGGGGTGTACCTAGAGGCCCCATAGTAGTTCCTTTTTGGGATTACCTTATAGGCCCCATAGTAGTTCCAGTTTCGGGGCTCATATTATTTAGAATCCTATGAGGTAACTCCCATAAAGGAACTACTATGGGTCATATTTAGAGTCCTATAAGGTAATCCCAAAAAGGAACTACTATGGGGCCTATGGGGTAGAGCTTGAGGGGTTTGGAAGCTCCATGTAAAAGCTCGAGCCTGCCGCAACACCACCTCGATGCGTCGAGCCCGTGTAGGGTTTCAGTCTTATGGTGACTTGAACACCAAACCTAGTTCATTGCTGGGATAGGCTTAAAAATATACAGTTTAAGTATCCATAAAAATATAAAATGATACCCAACTATGGCAAAGAAACCAGAATCCAGGACACGATCGAGAGATCTAAGGATTTGCTTTTAGGGCTTATGGGGCCTTGCTGGTTGAGGGTTGAGAGTAAGGGGATTTGGGTTTAGGGGTTTAGCATGAAAGATCATTCCTGAAGGCGCGCGGCATGTTTGATCTCCAAACCCGAAACCGCAAATCTCAAACCCGAAACTTGAAACCCTAAACTCTGAGCCCTATCCCATGCCCAGCACCGAAAACCACAACCCTGAACCATATGACAGCCCAGGCGCTTGCTGTTGAAGTCGATGGCTGAGAAGACCATGGACGGAGACCTCGGGGCGACTGCTCGGAGGCACAGCATCCACTAGCATAGGGTTTAGGGTATAGGGTTTGAGTTTTAGGGTTTGGGGTTTAGGGGTTTAGCAGATTAGGGTTTAGGGTCTGGAGTTGATGGTATAGGGGGTGGGAGCGTTTTCTGCCATGCTACACTTGCAACGGGGCATCCGAAGCGATGGTTCACAAGGAAACACTGCTGAAATTATTTGTTGGCATACGATGATAAGCCGCATGACGATGCTCTCGCCCTTGCCTTCTTATCGCCATTAACAATAACAGCTATCAGCATGACCATCGAGATGCGAACACGATCATGATTGACTGTCCTACCGTCGCTGTTTGCAAGAAGTCTGACTCACTCAACTAATCTTCTTATGAGCAAGCTCTCACAAGACTCAACCATTAATCCCAAACCCTACACCTTCAACCCGAAACCGAAAGCCCTCAAGCCAGAACCATTAATCCCAAAACCATACAAACCCGAAGCTCTAAGCCGACGAAACCTGAAATCCCAAACGCTCAGGGCCTCAAAGCCTAACTCATCCCTTAAATGCTGAAAGCCTGAGACAAAAGTACACAACCCTAAACCGTAAACCCTGAAGACCTACGTAAACCCCAAACCCCAATATCAACCCTAAAACCTTACATAAAGCCCAGGAAAATGAAAGCCCCACACCCTACCCTGAAGCCCATCGCTCTTTTTCACCACATCAGGATGGCTGTGTTGTAAGGACGACGCAAGCTACGAACGCCTGCAACCCATTGATGACATAAGACGCATCTTTGTCGCATCTCCTGTAATGTATCAGGACATGTAAACATTCCACGAGGTCCGCATTCTTTGACCAGCGTTACAACTCCCAACCGAAGACTGATGGCCTGGACGGTCATTCACGGGAAACAGCGACTGATGTGCTCCGCCAAGGCATGAAAAGAGTGAAATCTATGATCATAGGGAACCCTCAAACCCGTAACCCTTAAATCCCCTAAACCCCTAAGCTTTAGGCCCTAAACCCATAATGCAGTCCTCTATCCCTAAACCCTTAAGTCAGTATGCTCTAAACCCACCTAAACTCCTTAACTCCACCCACAATTAATTCAGTATGGCAACCCCTAAACCCTTAATCAATTCAGTATTCCCTGAACCCCTAAACTAACTAAACCCCGAATTCAATATGCCCTAACTCCCCTAACCCGCTGATTCAGCCTGTCATACTGTCCCAAACCCCACAAACCCTAAGGTCCGCGAGCCCCGGACCGGCTCGACGTCTCGGCCTCTAGGGCGTCGGCTGCCTGATCACTGGGGTGTGTGGGCCCAAACAAGGATCTCAGAAGGTTTGGGGTTTAGGGTTGAGGATTTATGGCTTAGGGTTTAGGTTAGAGGCTTCAGGGTGGAGGATTTTAGGGTTTAGGGTGATGGCTTAGGGCTAGTGTAGGCTTTAGGGGTTCGAGGAGTGCTAAGGGCTTAGGGCTTAGGTTAAGGCTTTCTGGGGTACGGGAAGGTCTCTAGGGCTTGTGAGCCTGTGAATGGGGCTTGGAGAGGGTCTAGGGTTCAGGGCTTTGGGTTTATCAAGGGCATTCCTCCCGCAGAGACTTTCCAGCTTGTGCGAGACCACACACCCGAAACCCCTAGCTAGGGACCCAAAACGGACATACAAGTTTTTCCATGAGGTCAGGATTTGTCGCAATCCTGTCTGTAGGCGGCCAATGCATGGATTTGATGCCGAAATGCCTCTGTGTCGGCGACTTCTTGGTTCTTGAGAAACCTCAAGCCCTCAACCCTAAACACTAAAGCCTAGAACCCCAAGCTCTGATCCTAAAATCCCAAACTGCCCTCCCCCTTTGCCACGAGCATCTGTGCCAACAGGTATTCTGATGAATCCTCAGAAGACTAAGGGTCTATCGACTCAGTGAGAATACGACTACGAACACAAGTAGTAGTTACTAGTACTAAAGACCCGATACTATGAAGTGGGTTTAAGGAAATCAACCCTACAGACCCTAAGGAGGCATGTTTGTATGGACCCTGGTAAACTCAATAAAGACTATACCCGACATAGACCCTAAAGGCTATACGCGACATAGGCCCATAAAAAAGGCTAAACGCCTCAAACCTTAAACACTAAACCCCACCTCCCAAAACCCTAAAAGCACTAGACCCTGCAGACCCTGAAACCCTGACCTGGAACCCAAATTGCCTGCACCCTAAACTCCAATACCCGAAACCCAAAACCCTGAACCCTAAACCCGAAACTATGAACCCTGCACCCGAAACCCTGAACCCTAAACCCCCAACCCTCAACCTTTGGGTAGCCAAGCAGATCGCTAAACCCCGAAACCCTTTTGAACTCTAAGCGCCCGCCTCAGCAGCCCGGATGAAAGGCACCGGGTTCTTCAGCCAAACCGAGTCAAAGTCGAACCAGAAGGTGTCCCGGTCTTAGAGAGCTGTAGGGTGTAGCGTAGGGGTTTAGGGTTTAGGGGTTTAGGGTTTAGGGTTTAGGCTGTAGGTTGTGGCGTTTGTGCAAGGGCTTTATTGGTTGTGATGCTTGTTTTACCTCCGGTTTAAGGTGTCGGGGCTCTGTAAGGGATCGTAAAAGGGGTTCGTGAGAGTTTTGGTTAGGGCTTTCGAAGGGTTTCGGAAATATAGCATAGTGAAATACGAAAAAACCATAAGGAGATGTCTAAGAACTCATCATCCCGACCCCTAAAGCCTAAGCCTAGGCTTTTGTTGAATTGTAGGGGTTTTAACGTTTCAGCGAGTTGACAAGCCCTCGAAGCTTCGCAATGAATGCCTGGACAAAAAAATTACCCTACTCTGTCCGAGGAGGTTCCCACAACTTCTACACGTAGGGTTTGTATGCAGAACCGGGGAGCTTTCTAGGGGTAAGTAAGCTCAACCGAACCGGGCTTAAAAGAACGAAGGCAACCCTTGGCCCAAGAGTAAGCTAGGAATGAACCGGGTGCCGTTTTTGGTTTAAAGGGGCTTCTCAGGGAACCTGAACCCTAAAAGAAGGGGTTGAGGGGTTTAGGGTTTAGGGCCCACTCTGCTGCAGGTCTGGTGATGTCGGCGGGACCTCCCTCTGCCGTAACATCGGGTGCCAGGTCGCCAACGAGGTTTAGGGTTTAGGGTGCTATAAGGGACGCTATAAGGGCACTATAAGAGTTCTATCAGGGATCTATTTTAGGATTCTGTTTAATATTAGGGCCTTAAAGGTTTGACTATGGTTTTGGGGTGTGTTGCACTATAATCATAAAATGCGGAACCCCCAGAATAGTATAGGCAATAAATAGTAAGCCCGCTATATTGTAAGGTCTAGTTCCCGAACCTTTTGAGCAGTAGGTTTGGGTTCCGAAGGACCCAGGACCACTGAAATGTGAACTCTTCCCTGAACCTCAAGCACCCACAACTTTGTACGAATTAGTATACGAATTTCTTTCGAGGGCTGCTCGAGGGTTGCTACAGTATAAAGGGGTTTCTGCGCAAGTTTCTAGACCGGCACCAAAACCCCAAACGCAGGCATGGCGGAAGAGTTGCCGATGTGTATGCAACAACGAAGATGAAGATGTCCCACCGGAGCAGTATACACATCTTCTCAGAAACTTGGCCGGAGGGTTCCACCAGCTATCGATTTCATCGATGTCCGGCAGCGACTCTTGCTCAAAATCGGACATCGAAACGTCCTCATCGGCCCATGGCGGGCAAAATGGCTCATCGTCAGCTCCACCAGACGCCGCCGCCAAGGAGCTGGGCCGATCGTGACCTCCACCAGCCGCCACCGAGGAGCTGGGCAGGCCCATGGGCTGCCTGCTTTAAATGGTTGCCAGTGGCATGATCGACTCGAGTCCGTGTGAGAGAGAGAGAGAGAAAGGATTAGCCCAAACCTAAGAATAAAAAGGCCTCTCTTTTTGGTATTGGGTAACTTTATAAGGAACCTAGGACTACAAAAAGGGAATAAGGGTACTACTGGGCATCCTAGACAAAACGTCACCCTCAAATCCCAAGGAATCGACACACCACTCAGTCCTGACGCCCGCCAAACAAGTGTGCAAAGGCCCGACATTGCTACTTTCAAGCAATCAACCGCGCCAGCTTGAATCCCACAAAAGGCACAAATTTAGCTCAGGCCCTAAAACCTATACAAGGCCTGCCCGCGCGAACCCCAAACCCTGAACAGCAGCACAAACCTGAGCTTCAGCAGAGTCTTTCCCGGACAAAGGAGAAACTGAGCTCTAAAGCCCTGAAGAGCTGGACTCGACGCGAAAGCCCAAAAACCCAACCCGCGTTAAACACCATTAAACTCACAGCGAAAGACCACTGATCAACAGAAAAGCGCAACTTAGACTACACCAAAAACGTTAAAACCAAACCCCTACCTCACGTCCCCAAGGCAACGCCGAGCCCTGGACCCAGGGACAGGAAGACCAACCTTGCCGTTTAGGGCTGAGGCTTGAGGGTTTAGGCATTCTGGGGTTCGGTGGGGGCTGAGCCTCGAGGGGCTTAGGGTTTGGGGTTTAGAGTTTAGGGCTTGTTGTGGGGTTGAGGATGTTGGGGGTCTGGGTTATTATAGGGGCCTTGGGGAGGATCTCGAAAGTTTTTGTAGGTGTTCTCCACGGTTTATGGGAGTTTTCTGAGGCATTTATCCGCCCTGCAAGGAGACCGTTATGATAGGGGGCTGAACACGTAAAGTGGTGTGCTGTAGGATACGAATAAACTCTTGGCAACTACAAGAAAGCATCATAGGTAATGGCGGGGCCTTTCTTCATGACTTAATAGCGCCAGAAAGTAAGTAACTCAGCCAGTACTCTGCAGCAGCATGAACACAACAAGCATCTGGAAACGCTGCGAGAGCATGCGAAGCCCGCTGTGAAAAATCCTCTGAACTCTGAACCCCTCCAGACTCCAAACCCTGTAGACCCTAAACCCTGGACGCAAAACCCTAGACCCAAGACCCTAAACCCAAGACCCTAAACCCTAGACCCCGAACAATACAAGTCAAGGGCTGACGGGGGGACTCTAGGCTTGGAGTTCTTCCGCACTTGAAGGATCCAGGTGTAATAAAGGTTTTCGGGTTTCGGGCTTAGGGTTTAGGCTTTAGGATGTAGGGTTTGCGGGATAGGGTTTACGGTTTAGGATGACTCAGGGTCTATGGTTTAGGGCTTTGCGATTTGAAGGTTCGGGGCGGGTTTCGGGCGTAGCGTTTAGGGTTTAGGGTTAAGGATGGTTCAAGCTTTAGGGCATCCGGAAAAGGGTTCACACGCCAGTTGCAAAAAGGAACCCCCAACCCCCTAAGAGTTTGCATGTGTTACCCTTTTCGCAACCGGCCTCGTTGTCCAGCAGCCCTGTCTAGCCAAACGCACACTCCCCTAACCTACAAGCAAGGAGGGCATGCGAAGTGACACCTCTGAGGAAACTACTTGACATGTAAACACCCTACTAAACTGATTATTTCGGTGTGAAAAAGGACATGAACTCCATGACATAGGCTTCGAAAGCTCACTGCTTCAGGAAGATTTCTACACTGAGGCAGCCATACTCCAATTGCAAATACTGCCACAAACGCATAACTGATATGATACCGCCAGTTCGACAAAGCATTGCATGCCGTCAATCTCGTGTGGCCAGCCTTACGTGATTTGCAACTGCCTGACAAAACACGCATATGCACGGTAGGATGTTAAAGCTGATACAAAGCTCTCAACTTGTCACCTACCCTAAACCCTAAACCCCAAACCCCAAACTCCTAAACCCTAAACCCCTAGACTAAGCCACTTCGCGCGACCAGCCGCTAGAGCGTCGTGCCGAGACCACGGAGCTGGAGCTGATACAAACCCCAAGCCATCAAATGGGAGTTTCCGAATACAGTAAACCCCATAAAGTTGGAAACCGGATTAAGCACAAATAGTGCTGGGAATCCCTTTACTGTGCTCTTAAGGATAAAGGCTATTATTGGGTGTCCAACTTTTGGGCTTCTACCATATAGGGGACCCGAATGTAGTACCATGGGAGTTTCCGAATATAGGGGGACCCGAATGTAGTACCCTAAATACTAGGATCCTGATTATAAGGATCCCAAATAGGGTGCCCCGAATTTTCGGAAACTCCCAAATGAGACCATGGGCTCGGAACAGCCGCCGTGACAGTGCCAAGAGCTAGGACTGCCTTGCGAGCAATGTTACATTGCGGCTGCCGAAGCAAATGGCGGAGATAGCTATAGTTGCACTTACATTGAACCCAAATATGACACCAGTCTTGTTGCGGCGAGTGCATGAGCAGAGGCAGCGAAATTCGTCTCCGGAGAGCGATGGTGGCAGCTTTTGAAATGGAAATCTCATCACTGACTGATGGGTGATCTCCAGCATGCGTTATCCGAAACCCTAAACCCATCATGCCAGACAGGAGTTTGGAGAGTTTCACGCCGCCTCTGGGTGGCTTCGGGCTTCGGGTTTGAGGCCATTGGGAGTGAAGGCAGAAAGACACCTTCAAACCAAAAACCCCATATCCCAAACAGACTAAACCCTGAACTCTCCACCCTAACGAGCGGAAACCTAACCCCTAAACCCCTAAACTTGTGGGCTGCCCGGCACGATCTCGTACTTTTGCAGCGCCGTTTGCTCGCTGCCGCTGATGCAGTGAACCTGGCAAGGTTTGGTCTGTGCTTTGTTGGGGTTTAGGGTTTAGGGTTTAGGATTTTTTAGGGGATAGGGTTTAGGGTTTAGGGTTCAGCTGGGTTCAGAAAGCCCTAAGCCCGGGTAGAGTTTATCAAGATCACTTGAGTGGTACCATCCTCATGATCCGAATTAGTATCGGGGGGTCTAGGTCTAGGTAGGATTTGAGCTTTGCTTTCTGGTTTGTAATTGAGAGCTGGAGGGGTCTCTGATAGAAACAGTGTAGTTGAAATCCTTAAAACACCTTCCTAAGGGTCCAAATAGCCTCTATCTATTACTTGGACCCTTAGCCCTAAACCCTAAACCCTAAACCCCAAACCCTAAACCCTAAACCCGCACTATCAGGAGTTTGGGATGGGTGTAAAGCCGAAAATACCGCCCGAAAGATCTGACGTTTAGAGTTTGGGGAGCAGGGCTTTAAGGTTTATGGGGGTTTGGGGTTTAGGGTGTAGGGGTTTAGGGTTTAGGGGTTTAGGGTTTAGGGCTTAGGGTTTAGGGTTTAGGGCCAAGTTAAGGGTCCCTGTAGCCAGGTTTCGACGAATTCGGTTCAATTGTGAAGGTTCCATAAGTTTTCTGGGTCGGGACTCCCAAGTTCAAGTACTACAGGGTCCTTTATTGATTGGAATAGGGTTTCGGGGCCCATTGTACTATATTTACAAGAATAATAAAGAGCCCCAGAAAAGTATAGGTAATTATCAAGGCCCCTATATTAAGCTTATCACCATACATGTTCACTCCGCCAAAACAAAAGCATATCCAGCTGGAACTTCGATAGCATTCGCCCACTTTGTTAGATCCCTGAACGTGACATCGTCAAACCGGAAACCATCATATTGAATTGAAAAGAGATTGTGGGTAGTTCTCTCAAGTAGGGTCCGTTGTGAGCCCAACATAATACGGCATCCTTATAATAAAGGACGCAAGAGGGAGCCTAATTTAGAGAACTACCCATATAAAACTAGCCAACAGCCACCTGCGGTGCTGCCAGGCAAAGCTTCATAGCCTCAGCCTTGGCAGCGAACTCCAAAACTCACGACATAGGACTCAGGGTAAAAACGGTTTAGGTGTTAGGGGCTTCGGGCAAGACTTGAGGGGGGATAAGTGCCCTGCACAAAGAACTGGAGCCATGATGCAGTCATGTCTAAGTCCCTTGCCCCCCGAGCCTTGAAAACTAATCATTACTTGGAGGATCATGGGACTTAGTAAGTATGGTTATAAGTACCTTAATTGGGGTTATAAGTAATTATAAGTATAGCTACCTTAATTATAACCCTAGTTACTAAGTCCCATGATCCTCTAAGTACGTCCAAAACTGAAAACCATCACGCCTAAATCTCCAAAACCACGTGAAGCTTTAAGGAGGGGCTTCGGCAGCAGCTTAGCCTGCATCACAGGCTCGCAGGGCCCTGTTTTAGCCAAGAACGTCCTTCCAGAGTCATGGGTTTGGGGCTTAGCGCTTGGTTGCGCGCAGTATTTGAATTTGGAGCCCTGACTGAAGGAGCGGCGTTGTTTTGAGGTAGTGAAAAGGGACTGGTGTGGCGCCCGAAGCCCTTAACCAAAATCCCATAAAAGCCTTTAAACTCAATCCCTTGTATAAAACGATGAACCCTAAACCCAAACCCTAAGCCTTAAACTCCTTCAACCCTTATAACATATCTTACCTTTGGTTAGTATGAAAGGAAGAATGGTAGTAATAGTAGTTATAACTGTACCCCATTCCTCCATTCCCTACTAACCAAAGGTAAGATATAGGACCTAGGCCTCTTCGAGACGCCCTTTTCTCCACGCTTTGGACGACTCCGGAGCCAGCTGTGGATTTCCCGGCGCAGCTCGGGAAGCCGCCTCGGTTTTGGTGTTTAGGGTTTAGTTAGGGCTTAGGGTCTAGTTTAGGGGTATAGGGCTTAGTTTAGGGTTTAGGGTCTAGTTTAGGGTTTAGGGTTTAGTTTAGGCGTTTTTGGATTAGTTTAGGGCCAAGGTTTTTGGGCTTAGGGTTTAGGGTTTCTGTTCTTGCTAATTTTGTTATAAGCCCAAATTTGTTAAGGAATACTTTTGGAAGCTCCTAGTAGTAGTAGATTTTCGTGACCCCCAAAATGTACCAAAGGGTGCAAGTAAGATTATAGGAAGCTCCTAGCCGATATTGTAGAACCCCAAAGGGTCCAAGTCACAGTATGGTAAGCTCTTAGTAGATACTTGGGCCCCGAAAGCATATACCAGACTGTTAGTCGGACCCTTTGGGAATAAATCTTTTCGGGCCGATAACAAAAGGGTTGTATAGAGTCTTTACAGAGCAGCATAGCCGGAACACTTTGGAAAGCTGCGAAACCTAAACCAGCCCAAACCGAAGCCGAAACCCTGAACCTTGTTTAGGTTTTAGGTTTTAGGGTTCAGGGTTTAGGGTTTGGGGTTTAGGTTTGCTTTTAGGGTTTAGGGTGTTTTTTTTTTTAGGGTTTAGGGTTGCGGGTTCAGGGTCTGTCAGCACACAAACCCCCTTGCACCCCATGCAACCCCATCCCCCCAGAGAAGGACCCTACTGTTTAGAGTACCACTTTGGGGTGCCCTATTTTGGGAAACTCCCATCTAAGCCAAATCCTACACCCAAAAACCTGCCCAAGAAAAACGAAGATGAAAACTCCATCAAAGAAGACCATCAACATTGAAGTTGAAGATATAAGAAAGACCAAGGGAAAGAGCTTCTTACATGGCGACACAAAGTCATAGCAACTATCTACTCTGGAAGCTCCTGATCCAAGAGGCTCGCACTGCTCCACGGCCAGGACAGCACCAGTCCATGGGCAAAGTCCTCCGATGCTCTGAGAGAGGTGCCCTTAAGGTTTTGCGCTTTAGTGCTTAGGGTGTATAGTGGTTATGGTTTAGGGTAACCACGGTCTTGAAGTGTATGGGTGGTGGTTGTCAAAATGATGGTCCCTTTGGGGGGTCCTTATTATAATACGGCACCTAATATTTAGGGTACCCAAAAAGGGACCTTAATTTTGCCAACCACCCTTTTGCATATCTTCATAACAATAGCGGCTGAGGGTTCGGGGGATCCGCCTTCAGGCCTGATGCTTTTGCAGTGGGTGTTGGAGTAGAGGCTTTCGGGCTTTCATTGGCTTCTTTTGAAAAATAGGGCTTTGGGTGGGTTTGGGATTTTGGGGGTTCTAGGTCGGGCCGGTTCTAGGATTACTTCGGGGAGGGAAGAACACTGTGTGTAGCATTTCAGGTTGGAAGTTTAGGCCTGCGAGATGTATCATGAGTCTCAATCCACGAGCCTAACGCACGAACCTCCACACAGATTCCTGGACACGGTTTATGGGCTCTTAAATTGCAGGCAACAGCACCGTAAACATCTTTCACTTTTTTGAGTATCAGCTTTGGGGCTGCGTCTCCAAGCCCTGAGCCTGTGGCACCCAGAATCTCGTACACTAAATCCGACGCGCTGCCCGTACCAAAAAAACGTACCAGTTTCAAGATCTTTTAAGGACTTGTAGTTTCAAGGAGCCTTGAAATGGGTAGGTGGCATGGGGTTCCGGTAAACCCGAAGGCCAAAACCCGAAACCCTCTGGCCATCCAGGAGCGGCCCCCGCCCGAGGCCTGACGTATCTCGCAGTCGCTGCACCAGCACGGAACGCTCGCAGACCTGGTACCAGGGCTTGGGGTTTAGGGTTTAGGGCTTATAGGGCTTGCCACTCACATTCCCGAAGATAAAATTCGGGGCCCAAATATCCACAAAGGGTCGCAGCAACAGTACAGCACACAAATTGGGGCCCACATATCTACTAACAGGTTACTATAATGTTACTTGGAGCCTTTGGGGTTTGTCCGCGTGCAGGTTTTAAGGTCTATCATAGTTCACCCAGCTTAGGGTTCCGGCGCTTAGGGTTGAGGGATTAGGTGATTGGGGATAGGGTTGACAGTTCCAGGGACATGAAAACAAAGGACTTCGGTGTAGAGTGGTTTAGGCTTGGTGCTTGGGGTTTGGGGTTTTCGGTTTGGGGTTTGGGGTTTTAGGGTTTGAGGGATCGGGTTAGGGTTGCAAGCTGTGGGACCTACTTGTCAGATCGACGAACTCTTTTCTGCGACATGACTTACGTCTTAGGTTTACGGCTGAGGGTGTTTCAAAAGTCGAGGGTGCTGCGAAAGCTTTAATGATAAAAGGGTTTAGTATTCTGGAAGGGATTTGAAGCTTTTCTCTGGTGCGGCCTCGTGCGTCTTTGCAGGGTTCCTAAGTCCGGGGTTGTGGGCTCCAAGGAGAATTTTGGGATTTACAGTCTTAAACCCCCATAAAACCCTGATGGAGGGGGCCTGAAAAAATTACAATATCGTACTGGGGTCCACTATACTCTGAATATATTAGAGAGTTTAGGGTTTAGGGTTTAAGGTTTAGGGGTTTAGGGTTTAGGTATTGGTAGTCATGAGGGTTGCCAGACAGCTGCCCGAGGCGCTTGGCCGCAAGGTGTTGCAACCGGATCCACCAGCCTCAGGAAATCTTGGAATCATGTCGGTGGTTGTCAAAATTATGGTCCCTTCCTTAAGGACGAAATGAACCCTAAAAGGGCTTAAGGTTCATACACCATTTTGGGATTCATAGTATATGTGATGTTCAGGGGGCCCCGCGGAGAACTGGGAGCTCGAGTAAGTAGAGGCGTCCTTAACAGCACCACACTGTAGAGGATTTGAGAATTCGGAGCCCGACGAAGAAGGCCACTGAAGGGGCCTTAATAATTCGAAGGTTTTGGGGTATATCCATTATCCTGCAAATGTCAGAAGGAACCTATAGGGAGCCTTTAGTAATCGAGAATGGGGTTTTGGCCTTTGTAATTTCAATAGGGTCTTGGCTTTAATATTCTGAACGGGGCCATGGCGTTAATCATTAGAATAGAGTTTTAGAGTTTTGCCCTTGATAACTGGAATAGGATAATAGGTTGAATAGGGTCTTGGCCGTAGTAACTTGAATAGGGTCTTGGTAGTTAGCATAGGGTTTGGCCTTAGCCTTAACAATTACAACAGGGTTTTGGCCTTGATACTTACACCAGGGTTTTAGCCTGAATAATTAGAATAGGATTTGGCCTTGAAAATCAGAATAGGGTCGTGGCCTGAATAGTTTAAAAAAGGTCCTGGCCTGAAAAAATTGAACAGGAATCTGGAGTACGTTGCACTTTATTTGTAACAATAAGGAACCAGCGCAGTGTTGGGAAAGATTTGGGCCCCTGTATTATGGCTGAGGGTTTTCTTTGCTATGGGAATCCTAAGAACCACGGCTTGCAAGGTTGGAACCACTGGCCCCTACTGTAGTAGGGTCCCTGAACTCTGAGATCCTTATATACCTACTTATGTATAATTACCCTCAGTTATCCCTCTCAGCCCTGTAAAGTCTGCCAGAGCTGATAATCATCCACGACCGGCTTAGGTCTCGGGGTTGGTCCCTTCTTCAACCATTCCAGAACCCTCAGCACCCCCTCGGAAACGCTTACAGCACCCTCCTAAAACCGAATTATCTTCAGAGCAGATAGCAGTCGGCCATCCAGGGAGCAAGCGAAGCGCGGTGGAGGCCTGATCTCTTCGGGCTTGGCTCACTTTGCTTCGTTGAAAAGGTTTAAGGTTTAGGGTGTGCATCTCGTTCAGGGTTTAGGATGTAGGGCTCAGGATTGAAGGTTTAGGACTCTGGGTTTCTTCGCGGGTTTTAGGAATTAGGATGCAACAAGCTAGGATTTGTTGAGGATGCCTTGAGCACGCATTGGCGGCGTCTCAGACTTTTCCGGTCTCGCTTTGTCTGCTTACTAAGCTCCGCGTAAACTACGTGAGGACCTGGAACCCAGAGCCTCCAAAACCCCTTAATCAAGGAATATGCCTTAAATTATATTAGGGATCCTATTATAATTTAAGGCATATTCCTTAATTAAGGGGTTTTGGAGGCTTTGGGAATACCTCTACCAGGGTTTGTCTTCCAAGCTAGGGGATGACCGTCTCAACCTAAACAGCGCTCCGTCCTGGCAGTCTTCCAAGTGGAAGCGCCCGTTGGAGCTTGTCGAGGTCTATAATATGTGGGGCCTTACTAATTAGAATAGGGTTATGGGGCCGACTACACTAAACTTATAAAAAGGAGCCCCGAAAATGGATGTTCTCGGATCTTTGTTGAGGTTAAGCCCTCTTTCTCCCGAAAGTGGTATAGGTAATTCTCAAGGCCCGTCGATGTCACAGTCATCCCTCGTCGGCGAAGGCCTTCATGGAGTCCTCCTCAATCCGTCCGCTTCAGCAGGCCGGCTTACTCCGAGAATTGCCGGTCATGCAGGAACCTGATTAAGAAACCTTGGGCCTTTAGTAGGGTTCCTTGTATGAATCCTATTATTTTCGGGGTTATAGGCCGGGGGTTTCTTAATCAGATTCCCACATTAGCTCGTGACGACCGCCTTTTGAGCTTCAAGGTCGCCTTTCTTACTGATCTCCAGCACTTCTCTGTGAAGTTCGCCCATCGAGGATTTAGGCCCCAGGATTTAAGGCTTAAGGCTTCAAGGTTTAGGGTTTAGGGTTTAGTTTAAGGCTTCAGCTGCTGGGGATCAAACTCCACCTTAGGTGAGGTATAAAATCGCAGGGAAGGAAGGTTCCGGGACTCAGGGCCCCCACCAAAGTCTAGGAAACCCTAAACCCTAAACCCTAAACCCTAAACCCTAAAGCGCTCACACATAGGATTATTGGTGTCGGGTTCCGGTGTGGGGTTTTATGGTGGTTTAGGGTGATCTACAGGCTGCATACTACATGAGCTCGATTCCAAAACAGCAAACCATGAATCCTACAAACCTGCCTTTTAAATTTCGGTATGTAGAGCCTGAGTGATCGGAAACAAAACTATCCAGAAACTCGGAGGCCTTAACCACGGAACCTATATACCTGAAACCTCACCTGGGTCGCTACAGCAATTTCAGGCATACTGCTGATGATAAAAACCCGGCCTTACACATCATAAAGAAAAGACCATAATTCCCATAGTTCAGGGTCCTTAGAGTAATGCAGGATTTGTATCATCAACAGTATCACTACAGTCATCCCCCAAGTTTGACAAAGATCCCGTCGACGGAAAGCCACTGAGGCGCTCCAGAAGCCCTTTCAGAACCCCCAACAACCCACATGGTGCGCGCTCTTAGTCTAGACCTAAGAGTAACCTAGGAATAAAAAGGGTGCCCTTTTTGGTTTAAAGGGGGTTATAAGGGAACCGAAACCCTCAAAAAGGGAATAAGGGCCTACTCCGGGTCCTAGTAGTGAAGATTTCATACGTACCCGTGGATATGCCCTTAACCCGTCGGTGTTGGGCGTTTATATAGGCATAAGGGTCTCAAAGGATCTCCCAAGAACAAGGTTTAGGGTTTAGGGTTTAGGGCTTATAGGGTTTACAGCACCCTGTCGTCCTCCTCGACCCAGTCGAGAAGCTCTGCAGCAACTCAAGCGAATCGCGACACGCACTACGTTTCCATAGCCGCAATAGAATCACAATAGAATCAGTAGAATCTTAAACTCGGAAATTCCAAGCCAAAACCTCTGTATGTAGTCCTTGCCAGACGGTGAACTGCACAAAACCCTCAGTCACAAAGGTTTAGGGTTTAAGGTTTAGCGTTATAAGCCTTTGGAGACATGGTCAACCAGTCAACCTGTCGACTCTAAACCTGCGTAGCTTACAGAATACTACTTAAGCTACGACCCAAGAAAGTGTTATTGGATCCATGCATAGACTCCAAGCCCGAAAACCCAAAAAAACAAAGCCCTAAACCCTAAACCTACACTCTAATCCCCAACTCTAAACCCCAAATCCTCAACCCTAAACCCCTAAACCCCTTTTAAACCCCGAAACCCTAAACCCCTAAACCCTAAACCCCAAAGCCTCAACCCTAAACCCTAAGCCCCAAAACCCCCAAACCCTAAACCTCAAAGCCTCAACCCCCAAAGGCCCCTCTAGTCTCTGCCTCGCCACGAGGCTCCGGAGGTCCTGGCGGGGAAGGGCCTGCAACGGAAACAGAAACCGAAGGCTAGGGGGGTGGGGTAGGGTAGGGGTTGGGGTGGGGGGTAGGGGGGTAGGGGGGTAGGGGGGCCTTAATCATTAGAACAGAGATTCCCTTTCAATGGGTCTAGAAAGGCTACGATTCAAAAGGATGTAAAAGGGTATCTATAGTGAGGTAGGGGCCTTCATAGCTAGAATAGGATTCCCTTTGAATGGGTCTGTAAGGGCTACTGATGTAGTGTAGGGGCCTTAATAATTAGAATCGGGAAACTAGAATAGGGTTCCCTTTACAGGGGTCCGGAAAAGGAAATTCTAGGATTCCCTTTAAAGGGGTCCTTAAACAGGATCTATAAGGGATCTATAGTGATGTGTGGGGGCCTTAGTGATTAGAATAGAGGTTCCTTCAAAGGGGTCTATAAGGGTACTAGAAGGGCTACTATAAGGATTTAGTGTAGGGACCTTGGTAATTAGAATAGGTTTTTTCGGTGTGGTATTTTATACTATAAATAAAATAAGGAACCCCCAAAATAGTATAGGTAACTATTCTGCCTGCTGCATTAGGGGTTCTACAGGATAGGCTTCTTTGTGGGGCTCGAGGCTTATGATGGAGGATCACACGATACTGCATTACGATGGTGATATTGCAAGACAATATGATCATCGCCCGATGTTATATCTTATAACACTGCAGTAGAACTTGTCATTATCTTACTTGAAGCCGTTCTCCATAGGAAGTATTACCAGTACAGGGGTGATTTAGGCATATGGTGCAGTATGAGAAAGTGTATAGGGTTTAGTAGTAAGAGCAAACCGTCAAGAGTTTAGGCAGCTTGGGACGACGAGTTGATTTAAAGGTCTTTAGCGGGCTTCCAAACACAACTTTCAGATTTTGCATGTACCATGGAGTTAGAGCTTCTTCGTCAGCTAGGCGAAGTTCTAAGTAGGGTTCATACAAGCACTCGGCCTTGTAAACCGAAAAAGGATGGTTTAGGGTTCCCTACGTAGTTAATGTAGGGGCCTGAATAAGTAGAAGAGGGTTTTGGGCATCATTCGTAACTGTAATAAGGAACCCTAAAACAGTATAGGCAAATATGTAGGCTCCTTATACATACATATACTTCTTTTACATAATTAGAGCAGAAGCCTGGAACCCTACAAGGGCAACCTTTTCTTTGTAACTGGCCTGCGGAGCTTGTGCCTGCAGCTGCCGACAAGTCCTACCACCAACCTGACGAAAACCCTAAACTTCACCCTAAAACCTAAACCCGAACCCCCGTGAAAGTTTTAGAGCATGCTTCTGGGTTAAGGGCACACTCACAGGCAAAGACCCCTGAATTCGGAGCCCTAAAAAAAAAACCTAAACCAGCAAGACCTTAAGCCATGCAGTCCTCGCTATGACTCTGAAAAAGCACGGCTTTCCCAGAGTCAGACCTAACCCTAATCGTAAGAAGCTCGCAGGTTTTAGGGTTGAGAGCTTAGGGTTTTGGGGTTTGAAGAGGCCCTCGAAGCCCTGGTCTCTTAACGTGTGAACCCTGAATCCCAAACCACCGACCGCGGCATCTTCGGTTTAGGGTTTAGGGTTTAGGGCTGCCTTACCCTAAACCAGCGTTGATCAGCACGTCAACCTCCTACTCAAGGCCTTTACCGTGAACCCCGTCCCTAAAGCCTACACCTCGTCCCCAAACCCATTCCCCTAACGGCTGGACCATTGTAGAGCCCTGAAAAAGTCAATACGAAACGTTTGGAGAACGCTTCTAGAAGCATAACCCCGAAATCCCAACGTTTGCCCTAAACCCTAGCCCCTGAACCATCTTGCCTGAACCCTAAACCCTCATAGAGGCCGTGTAAAACCCAGCAATGCGGTATGCCCCCTTTCGGACTCTGACCCCTGAATCCGAAACCTCTTCTCCCCAAACCTCAAGGCACCCGCATAGGAATAAGTACTATTACTACCATGCGTCCATTCCCTTCTAACCGTAGTAGTAGTAGTAGTAGTCGTAGTAGTAGTAGTAGTCGTAGTAGTAGTAGTAGTAGTAGTAGTAGTAGTAGTAGTAGTAGTAGTAGTAGTAGTAGTAGTGTAGTAGTAGTAGTAGTAGTAGTAGTAGTAGTAGTAGTAGTAGTAGTAACCAAAGGTGAGCTAAGCGGAACCCTAAACCTCTTCCCTTCAGGTCTCAGTTGGAAGGTATGTCTCGGAGCCCCTGGTTTGCGGATTTCCGGAATTTGTTGGCTCCTGCTTCTCCAGAGAAGTGATAAGCCCAAAGGGTCCTAGGTACTGTTATGGAGAATACTTCCCCAAATCAGAATCGTAATTCCTAATATAGAAACCCTACATTCTACTATATTGGTACTTTGGACCCTTTGGGAAGGGAATGATAGGACTTGGGTTATGTAGGGCTTATATGGGTGCTATGAAATATCATGCGGGTTCTGTGAACTTTGATACAGTTTGCAAACAATTCAGATGTGGGGTCTGAATAGTCAGGCTCGGGTTGTGGCATATACTGCAATATAATAAACCTACCTTAACCCACCAGAACCTAGTTTTGGGTAGGGTCCCTATAAATCGCACATTAGGGTTTATAATAAGAACCTACAAAAAAAGTAGGGTGTAGTACGTCTAGGTAGGGCCCTGAATGATCCAGACCTCTGTCATTGCCGGCACTGGTTGAAGATGGTCATTATCATCGCTACATTTGCTTCACTGTCATCTGTGGCCCAATAATTCCGGAAACTTCCGCTTAAACAGTTCACATGCAGAATGCCAGCCAAAGCTCTTCCACATCAGGCTTGGGGCCTCATAGCCTCTTGTCTGATCCGCAAGGGCCTTAAATACTGTTGATGATATAAATCCTGCATTACCTTAAGGTCCCTAAACTATGGGAATTATGGTATATTCCTTATTTTGGCTAATGCAGGATTTATATCATCAACCGTAGTGCATAGGGATCAAGGGTCGAGGGTTGCATACCACACTGTAGACTGTAAATGTATACAGTAAAAGCCAGAAAGTTGGAATATGATTATCCTAAACCCTTTATGGTAAATTATAGGGTATCCTACCCTGAAACCATATTCCAACTTTCTGGAGTTCCCTTTAAGGAAACCCGAAGGAACAATACTACTGAACCTGCTTTGGCATGAGCAAATTCAGTCAAAGCCCACTCACGATGCCTGCATCTAAGCCCCAAACCTTAACTCTGAACGGCAGACTCTAAACCCACGTTCGCTGCAAAGTTGCTTCTAAGCCAGAAAGTCCACGCAGAGTATGGGGCTAAGCACCTAATCACTATGCAAACCCCCAAAGAAAACCGAGCTCCCCAGCACAATGCAGCGGCCTTATTTATAAAACGATTAGAAAGGTGTTTGGTGAATAACAATAATCTAGTTTCACAGCAAGGGATACTTTTTCTTCTGCATTACGTACATACAACAACGTGGGATGTCTTTCTTCATGACTCTCATTCTGGTTGTTGCTCTTAAGCCATAAATCATAAACCCTAAATTACTAAAGGCTGCCGTAAACCCTAAACCCTGAATCCTAAACTCCTAAACGCTAGAAACCCTAAAGCCAAAGCAAAGCCTAAGATTGAACCCCTTTACAGCCTGAACTCGGGCCCCTTCGCAACGAGAAGCTTTGAGGCTCTCAGGAAAAGCGAAAAGTTTCGACTGGGCCTCTGCCCTTGCCGCAAGCCACGTTGGCCGCTCGAGCAATAAGCTCTATGTCTTCTTGTGGGTTAGGGTTCAGGATTTAGGGTTTAGGGTTTAGGTTTTAGGGTTCTGGGTTTTCACCCTAACTCGAGCGGCGCAGGTGGAAGACCGGGTGTTGTGCGTCACTTCTGGATCGTCTCGCCAACATCTCGAATTGGAAAGAGCGAACGCCCAAGATTTCAAAATCGTGATGCAGGAAAGGTTGAAGGTTCATGAGTCCTTGTCGCAGGCTTGCTACTGACTTCTGCGATTATCCATGCGTGCAATGAGGGTTCTTACGAAGATGCAAGTTTGGGGGGTGTGGGCCAAGCAATGGATACTGTTGATGATATTGAATCCTGCATTACCCATAATAAGGAATATACCACTACTCCCATAGTTTAGGGTCCTTTGGGTTATGCAGGATTCATATTGTCCACAGTATTTCAACCCTCAGGCCGCTCCCTTCTCACCCAATTCTTGAATCAACCACCAATCCTTCACATTTTTGGGCTTGGGGTTTAGGGTTTTCAGGGCATTAAACTACTTCTTACACTCTTGCAACCTGGGATCACAAACCTGAACCCTAAACTGCAAAGTGCTAGGCAGCTATGCTCACACCATGGTAGGGCCATAAATTCAAAAAAAAACGTGAAGAACCCTACCCCCAAGCGCTCCTGGACCCCTTCTTAGCCGTATCTAGGATGCCAAGTAACCTAGGAATAAAAAGGGCTCCCTTTTTGGTATTGGGTAACTTTATAAGGAGCCTAAGACTACAAAAAGGGAATAAGGGTACTACTGGGCATCCTAGTTGTTAGCCTTATTCGAGATTTAGAACCCCTGTCAGCCGTTTAATCACCTTAACCCTGAACGCCTCCAGGCTAACCCTGAACCTTAACTACACCCTTGCCCGCCCCCTAAACCCGAAAATCCAGAATCCAAAACCCAAAACCCTATGCCTGGAGGGCCTCCGGGTACCAAAGACATCTGGCGGTTTAGGGATTGCATGGGGTTTAGGGCTGCGGCTCTGAGCATGAATGTACCCCGAGGGGTTCACGGGTCAAAAGTTTGTAGGGTTGATGGGTTTAGGGTATAGGGTTCAGGGTCAGGGTTTATTTTTTAGGGTTTAGGGCTTAGGGTTTGAGGTTTAGGGTTTAGGGTTGAACCCAGTTTGATTGAAAACCCTTGTGACGGAGAGGGAGATACTCCGGCACCCGCGATCACTTCTCAGAACCATCGAACCCTCAACCCAAACTGCGACTATGCCGAATTGGCAGCTGTCCCGTATGGCTCAGCGTCCCGGAAGTGCAAACCAT